TACTTTGCCGGATTAGGTCTGAATAGATAATTAGGTAAACTTCTATAGTGATGAACTCATGACTACGTTATATATATTTTAGATGTTTCCAATTGCTAAAATAGCTAAAGAAAACCTTTTAAAAGGGGATTGATTTTGGGAAACATATTTAATTTATGGATTATTATTAGTTGAAGAAGTTACCAGTGTGATTACTGAAATGTTCCTTTCATGTATTGTCTAATGTCTGTATTTAATATCTGAGAGGTGACTGCGGGTCTAGCTAGCTAGGAATACAGCAACAGTGCTTGCTTATTTAGCCCGGCTTTCCAGAAATTAAATATTGTTTTGTTATTGTAACGTATTAAAACAAATTATGTAGAGGACAGAGTTAAAAATATAGACCAAGAACAATATGACCAAAAAATATGTTCAATTTAAACTTAAAAATTAGTCTAATCCGTTTAGACGATTCAGAGAAATAGAGTATTTGCTAATATAGAAAAATTCTGAAAAGCTTTCTAAATTCACAATGAAGCTAAAGATTTAATGATCTGGATCAATGGATCCATTATGAGCTATTCTAGTGTCAAGAGCTGGGTTAAACAGAGTTATTTTTAAAATAATGACATTGTTTGGAACAAAATAATAAAATTATTGATATTAGTGTTAAAGATAAAAATGAAAGATTATAGAATTTTCTTTGGTTAGATTTTAGTACACAGATCCTTAAATAGATCTGACTAAGTAAAACAATCGCCTGCTTGAATTAAAAGCTAACAAAATAAGATTAAGGAAAATAGTTAACAACAGTATCGGCCTGTTAAGGCCTAATAGATCAATATGATTTGAAAGATAGCTAAAAATTATGAAACTTGACTCAAGGTCTAAAGTTAAAAGGCAATGTACTATGGTATGTTTAGTTTTTTTACTAGAGATAGAATATTGGCAAGGAGATGAATAGATGAGAAGATGGTATGTGTATGTGAAACAAGGAAATGGTTAGAGATAACAGGTGGTATTAAAGTCACTGACTTAAAATAGGATGATTCGGTGGAGCAGGTAAGTCATGCAGGTATAGAAAATTGATTAGAATAATTAAATTTAATATTGGCCATGTTTGATTATGGCCAGAGAGGGGAATGTGGTGGAAAATTTAAACTGAATATTAAGAAAACCATGTTTTAATATTTGACCTTGTTTAAACTGCTAAATCTCTAAAAACCATGTTCTAGGACGTTCTGTATTCTACATGAATGTGTGTGTGTCGAACTCCTGACTGTGTGTATAAATAACAAATATGGGAAATGAGACTAGACAGATGACTAAGTTAGAACTTGTGATCAATGAAGTAATCGTTAAAACAAATTCTTACCCAGTAACAGAAGGAATAACCAATCAAATGAATGTCATTTTGCCATACCTCCCTATTGTATAAAAACTGTTGTTTCCGTGTTTTCGGTGGGATTCTCAATGGAATTTGTCTGAGATCCACCGGCCTTGGTTTTACTTGGGAGATTCTCTGAGTATTGCTCGAGACTCCTGGCCGTAATTAAAAGCATCTAAAGGACATTTACTGAAGTCTGTCTGTCATTAAAGCTGCGCAGCAAAGGGGTTTTAGAGTAGTTCAGAAAACTCGAAGCTAGAGACGTCGTAAGGGTCGTATAGAGCTTGAGTAAGAGTAGTTCAGAAAACTCGAAGCTAGGAACGTCGTAAAGGACGTAGGGAGCTTGAGTAAGCTAGAGACGTCGTAAGGAGCGTATAGAGCTTGAGTAAGCTAAAGACGTCGTAAGGGACGTAGAGAGCTTGAGCATTTTAGGAAAGCGGATAGTCAGATTATAGGTTAGCATTAGGGAAGAAAAAATCCATCACACACGGCATCATCAGATCACCTTTACACGACATCATCAGATTACCGTTACACGACATCATCAGATTACCGTTACACGACATCATCAGATTACCGTTACACGACATCATCAGATCACCGTTACATGACATCATCAGATCACCGTTACACGACATCATCAGATTACCGTTACACGACATCATTAGATTACCGTTACACGACATCATTAGATCACAGTTACGCGACATCATCAGATCACCGTTACACGACATCATCAGATCACCGTTACACGACATCATCAGATTACCGTTACACGACATCATCAGATCACCGTTACACGACATCATCAGATCACAGTTACGCGACATCATCAGATCACCATTACATGACATCATCAGATCACTGTTACATGACATCATCAGATTACCGTTACATGACATCATCAGATCACCGTTACAGGACATCATCAGATTACCGTTACATGACATCATCAGATCACCGTTACACGACATCATCAGATCACCGTTACACGACATCATCAGATCACTGTTACATGACATCCTCAGATTACCGTTACATTACATCATCAGATCACTGTTACATGACATCATCAGATTACCGTTACACGACATCATTAGATCACTGTTACACGACATCATCAGATCACCGTTACACGACATCATCAGATTACCGTTACATGACATCATCAGATCACCGTTACACGACATCATCAGATTACCGTTACACGACATCATCAGATCACCGTTACATGACATCATCAGATCACTGTTACATGACATCATCAGATTACCGTTACACGACATCATTAGATCACTGTTACACGACATCATCAGATCACCGTTACACGACATCATCAGATTACCGTTACACGACATCATTAGATCACAGTTACGCGACATCATCAGATTACCGTTACACGACATCATTAGATCACAGTTACGCGACATCATCAGATCACCGTTACACGACATCATCAGATCACCGTTACACGACATCATCAGATTACCGTTACACGACATCATCAGATCACCGTTACACGACATCATCAGATCACAGTTACGCGACATCATCAGATCACCGTTACACGACATCATCAGATCACTGTCACGCGACATCATCAGATCACCGTTACACGGCATCATCAGATCACTGTTACATGACATCATCAGATTACCGTTACACGACATCATCAGATCACCGTTACACGGCATCATCAGATCACTGTTACACGACATCATCAGATTACCGTTACACGACATCATCAGATCACCGTTACACGACATCATCAGATCACAGTTACGCGACATCATCAGATCACCGTTACACGACATCATCAGATCACTGTCACGCGACATCATCAGATCACCGTTACACGGCATCATCAGATCACTGTTACATGACATCATCAGATTACCGTTACATGACATCATCAGATTACCGTTACACGGCATCATCAGATCACCTTTACACGACATAATCAGATTACCGTTACATGACATCATCAGATCACTGTTACATGACATCATCAGATTACCGTTACACGACATAATCAGATTACCGTTACACGGCATCATCAGATCACTGTTACATGACATCATCAGATTACCGTTACATGACATCATCAGATTACCGTTACACGGCATCATCAGATCACCTTTACACGACATAATCAGATTACCGTTACATGACATCATCAGATCACCTTTACACGACATAATCAGATCACCGTTACACAACATCATCAGATCACTGTTACATGACATCATCAGATTACCGTTACATGACATCATCAGATTACCGTTACATGCCATCATCAGATCACCTTTACACGACATAATCAGATCACCGTTACACGACATCATCAGATCACTGTCACGCGACATCATCAGATCACCGTTACACAACATCATCAGATCACTGTCACGCGACATCATCAGATCACCGTTACACGACATCATCAGATCACTGTCACGCGACATCATCAGATCACCGTTACAGAACATCATCAGATCACTGTCACGCGACATCATCAGATCACCTTTACACAACATTATCAGATCACTGTCACGCGACATCATCAGATCACCGTTACACGACATCATCAGATCACTGTCACGCGACATCATCAGATCACCGTTACAGAACATCATCAGATCACTGTCACGCGACATCATCAGATTACCGTTACATGACATCATCAGATTACCGTTACACGACATCATCAGATCACCGTTACAGAACATCATCAGATCACTGTCACGCGACATCATCAGATCACCTTTACACAACATTATCAGATCACTGTCACGTGACATCATCAGATCATCGTTACGTGACATCACCAGATCATCGTTACGTGACATCATCAGATCACCGTTACAAACAGATCAACGATTAACCTTACCATAATTAATCACACAAATGACAGGATTGGCCTTTAAGATTATATGGTTGTTTCTACAACTAATTTAAATAAAATGTTTTTTATTTTTATTTTTTTTACGTTCACATTAAAATGCCTTGGGAACTTTTGTTTCATGTTTTCATTAATTTTTGTTCCTGAATGTCTTTGGTTTTTTATGTATCATGTTTTATATTTGTCTCAGCCCTTCAGTGTTTAAAATTCATCAGTTTAATTACGTTTTTAAATCAAAACAAAAGGCAAGATGAATAAACCATTTCAGATTTTATGGTGTGAATTGTGAAAATGAATTACGTTATTCTTGTCCATCAGCTGTAGTGTAGTTTTAACAATACAAATTTAAAACATATAAAGTCACAATTATTAGTAATATATATATATATATGATAAAATTCAAAATTGTGACATACTAAGTAATCGAAAGTATGATTAAAAAGCCGAAATTATGACACATTAATGAGTCAAAACAATGACTGTGTACTTTGTAATATCATAATTTCGTCTTTTAAGTTATAATTTCGATTTACTGTCATCATTTCGACTTCTTAATCTCATCATGCCTTTCCACCTCATAAAAACGACTTGTCATGACTTATGTCATAATACTGATTTTGAGAAGCATGTGTGTGTTTCTCTGGTCCCCTGTCGCAGTGAGTGTCTGTAAGCCGCAGTAAGAGAAGCCCTGGCTGGCAGTGTGTGTGCACTAGAGACGGGTGTGTGATCACTCGCCGGCCTGATGAAGAGCTCGGGGTTGACGGCGCGGAACAGAGAGGTGGTGTTGAGGCCGCGGAGGCCGGGGCTCCTGTAGCTGCTGTCCGGCTGCCGAGCGCCTGATCCCCCGCTGCCGCTGCTGCTGTCCTGCGGGGGGGTCCCCATCTCCTCTCACACACACACACACACTCACACTCACTCTCTCACACTCACAGCTGTCGACCGGAGCGCAGAAATCACAGTCGAACACACGCTGAACGATAGTAAACACTTTTACTTCTTCGAGGTCTCGCAGCTCTCCTCCACATGTCGCATTACCGCCCTCTGCTGTTCTGTGGTTAAGCCGCTTTATTCTAGTCTCCGTTCCTCCCTCGCACACTATCTGCTAATTCTATTAATTCATAGACCTGATAAATACATATTATGTCCATGATGAATCTAATTTCTCATTCCCCGCGACCCTTTATATCTCCTGTACCCAGGGCAGGACTTAGGGGGCTGGGGGCCCCTGGGCTTGAGTTTATGTTTGGGCCCTATACGCTACAAACATCATTATGGAGTAGCACAAATTGCACAAAAATTTAAATATGCTTTGAGGTTCCTAGAACAATTATTATGCAATGTGCCTATAGTCAAAGTTTAGTGGTAGGCTAATTTTAAATAGTCATTATAATACAATATAATGCAGGATGTGCTCTCTAGGTTGAGATAAGATCAAAACTCTAATAATAAAGCCAAGAGAAAACAGTATTTTTTTTATTCATTGTCATAGCTATCTGTCAGATTCTTAAATTTAGTCAACAAATTCAATCAGAATGCAAAGACACGGTGGCTTATTATGACCAAATAAAAGGAAGTCGGTATCAATAAAATCCATTTTTGGATTGACACAGGCTGTTTAGACATGGCATGTATGGATTTACACAGAAAATTATAATTGCATAAATTATGTTAAGAGATTAATGTTTTAAATGTAAAAATTTGAATGTAGAAATATGAAATGATTGAGAAAAATTAACTATGAAACCATTTTAACTATCAAACTAACACCGCCAGTAGGTGGCGGCAAGTCTCCATCTTAATGAGGGAGTTGGATCCTTTATTCAACCGATTCGTTCAAAAATCCTAATTCGTTTAACCTAGCAAACGACTGTATGTATGAATAGGTAGCCTAATTGAATCATTTACTTGTCTGATTCTGTCAAAAATGAAGATTTTTTGAGGAACAAAACACGTGTTACTCGGAGGCGCAGCGGTTCTGCTGTTTGTTCTGTTTTCTTTGATTGAACTGATGTCACATTTGCGATTGTGCAGATGTTCGGAAAATCAGCGCTCTTGCTGGTGTGATAACTCACATATCATAGGCTCGTGTTTTAAATACATTAAACAGGAACTCGTTAGGCCTAAATGTTTTTTTTTTGTTTTATAATTTTGATGACATATTCCTATATTGTGATGGCAGTGGAGAGAGCGCTCAAAATTATCCAGAGCACATAATTTTGTGAAAATAAATAAATAGAAATTATCATTCTCTTTAAAGCAACGAGACGTGAACATATGAGAATGTATCAAGATTTTTCTAAATGTGCGCTCTTTTGGACTAAAAGCCCAATTGAAGCTGTTTAAAGTAGCCGACCGCAATGGAGCAGATGCACATCAACACGCGTGTTATTCTTTGTGATAAATATCAGGTTGCGCCGTTTGATTATAGCCTCGAAGCTCTCAGTCGGAGGATATTAAGGCCCGGGTATTTTATTCCGTGCTCCCCTCCGTCTTTCTACTCCGTGAGCGCGGAAAGACGCGTTCGGCGCGTGCACGCGCACTATAGTGTATTGGATTTAGTTTTCAAGCGCTCAAGTCACTACTTTGGGCTGATTATAGCCCTCGCTTGCACATGGCCAGACAGTGGAAATACGGCTAATAATTTCGGGATATCTGGCATACAAGTTTGACTGAACAAAACAAACGAACTAAAATGGGTAAGGGGGCCCCCTACTGGGCGGGGCCCATGGGCTGCAGCCCAGTCAAGCCCAATGGTAAGTCCGGCCTTGCCTGTACCCGAGTCTCGTGTCCTTCTGTGTCCTTCATGAGCAGTTCATGAGTGAATGATCCGCATGACATTGAGGTTCAAGATATTGTGCCCTCTGGTGTCGATGAGTGTGAAGGGGTTTAATTTTGTTATAATGATGTTATGAATGATATCTTTACTCATGAAAATATATAGCTGCATTTTAGCATGTATCCATCGCAAACATTACTCTACAAGATTAAACCCCCTGCATTAATCAATATTTGGCTTTATATTGCGTATCTAAATAGAGTTAAAGCCCTTAAAGGTGCAGTGTGTAGATTTTAGCGGTTCGGTTGCGAGTTGCACTAATGGCTCCGCCCACTGCTCACCCCTCCCTTTCGAAGGAGCTATGGTGGCTAAACCGGGACAAACATGTCGTCGTCTGAGTGAGACAGCAGAGAATGGCCAGAGTAAGCCAAGAGTGTGTAACAATGTCACTGTTTCTGTACCACAGTCCATTATAAACCACATCATGGATAAAGTTTACAAAGCCATAGTCAGGTGAGGATCAAGGGTCTCAATATATAATATAATAATAGCTGGTTAAAACGTAAAGCCTTGTTTAAAAATTTCGACGCGTCCACATGAGCGCAAAGATGCGCGCGGCAAAAATGACGTGATTGTAACAGCGCGTGCCTCCGCATCCCCTAGACAACATTTACTGCACACAAATTAAGAAATAATAATGAATAAAAATATAGTTTTTTTTTTCTCTGGTTTTGAAAACTCTTCGCGATCGACTTAAAATGCTTCCAAGATGGACTTGTCGACCGCGATCGACGTGTTGGTGACTCCTGTAACGTTACTGTTTTACGGTCAATAGTACTAATCATCTGATTGTCAAAGCCATAACACAGCGAGGGAGAAGAACTGAGTTACATGAAACAATCCAACTACATATTTTACACCACTGACAAGGGAAAAGTCACTACTCACGGTGTCTATGGCTTCTAGGTTTCTGCGGCTTCTCTTTCAAGGTAGTGAAGAAACGCGCTCTGTGGCGCTGTGTGTTCGCTGTGTGTTCGCTGTCGGCTACTGTAGAAACATGACGTCACAACATGTCGACCTTCATAGAAGGGGGCATAGAAGGGGGCACAGATATCCATAATAAAGGCTAGATGTCTTACGGCGGAGTCTCTATCGTCATCACCGGCGGCCATCTTGTCACAGGCAAGCTTTCTGGCGGGCTCTGTGGTGCCTGATGTAAGATGAGTGATCAGCACGAACACAAATACTCTCATCTCGTTGAAATCTTGACGGATTTACAAACGGTTTGGTTTCTTACAAACGTTATTAACGTGGCTATAATTCTGGATGATTATTTATTGATACACTTATTATTCATAAGTGTGCAGTGTCATAACTACATCTCTGACGTTTATAACAAACCAAACCGTTTGAAAATCGGTAAATTGAGCAAGTTATGGTTATTTAAAAAGTACATGCACCATTAAAACACAATGTTACGAGTGAGCGAGCTGCCTGTGGCAAGATGGCCGCCAGTGCGGACGTCGACCTCCATTGGCCAGCAGCGCGGACGAGACATCTAGCCTTTATTATGGAGATCTATGGAAGGGGGTGCAGAAATAAAGAGACAAAGAACTGTCATGTGTAAAGCCTCAGGTGATTATGTTTCCTGTTGACATTAGATTGATTTCATCAGTGTGTTTACGCAGCTTCAGTCCGAGTGTTTATAATGTGTTATTGAGCAATCATTATGAATGTGCATTTAGACACCGCTGCAGTGTTTTCATTAACGTCTGTGGGCTTTTTACCTTGTTCTTATTGTTCTTATTGTTTGCTTTATGTACGTTGATGAATTAATAATTCACAATGTAGTGATTGTGATCAATATCCTCTCATAGGTTTATCCTAATACTTAAATCTGAATGATGTGAACGTGTCTCTGTATAACCGGACAGACTGATGACGTCTCTGATGAAGGATTATGAAGACAAACAATATTTTCTCTGATTAATCATTGATAATAAGAGCAGGAACATGAATTAAGACTGTAAATAGAGCAGTTATTATCTGACACCTGTAACAGTCACCAATGAATCAGGGTTATTATGCTATATATATAAATACTTTTGATTTGATACTTTTGAGCTGGTTTGGTTTATTCCACGATGGGTAACTGCCAAATGTTTTTCAACCAATTAAATTGATTATATTTTAAGTATTTCATTTGTTTTATATGATTAAATATTAATTTAAAGTCCCCCCTGTTGTGAAACATACAGGGCCCCAGTGGGCTAACATACAGGGCCCCAGTGGGCTAACATACAGGGCCCCAGTGGGCTAACATACAGGGCCCCAGCGGGCTAACATACAGGGCCCCAGTGGACTAACATACAGGGCCCCAGTGGGCTAACATACAGGGCCCCAGTGGACTAACATACAGGGCCCCAGTGGGCTAACATACAGGGCCCCAGTGGGCTAACATACAGGGCCCCAGTGGACTAACATACAGGGCCCCAGTGGGCTAACATACAGGGCCCCAGTGGGCTAACATACAGGGCCCCAGTGGGCTAACATACAGGGCCCCAGTGGGCTAACATACAGGGCCCCAGTGGGCTAACATACAGGGCCCCAGCGGGCTAACATACAGGGCCACAGTGGACTAACATACAGGGCCCCAGTGGGCTTACATACAGGGCCCCAGTGGGCTAACATACAGGGCCCCAGTGGACTAACATACAGGGCCCCAGTGGGCTTACATACAGGGCCCCAGTGGGCTAACATACAGGGCCCCAGTGGACTAACATACAGGGCCCCAGCGGGCTAACATACAGGGCCCCAGTGGGCTTACATACAGGGCCCCAGTGGACTTACATACAGGGCCCCAGCGGGCTAACATACAGGGCCCAAGCGGGCTAACATACAGGGCACTAGTGGGCTAACATACAGGGCCCCAGAGGGCTAACATACAGGGCCCCAGTGGGCTAAAATACAGGGCCCCAGTGGGCTAACATACAGGGCCCCAGTGGGCTAACATACAGGGCCCCAGTGGGCTAACATACAGGGCCCCAGTGGGCTAACATACAGGGCCCCAGTGGGCTAACATACAGGGCCCCAGTGGACTAAAATACAGGGCCCCAGTGGACTAACATACAGGGCCCCAGCGGGCTAAAATACAGGGCCCCAGTGGGCTAACATACAGGGCCCCAGCGGGCTAACATACAGGGCCCCAGTGGGCTAACATACAGGGCCCCAGTGGGCTAACATACAGGGCCCCAGTGGGCTAACATACAGGGCCCCAGTGGGCTAACATACAGGGCCCCAGTGGGCTAAAATACAGGGCCCCAGTGGACTAAAATACAGGGCCCCAGTGGGCTAACATACAGGGCCCCAGTGGGCTAACATACAGGGCCCCAGTGGGCTAACATACAGGGCCCCAGTGGGCTAAAATACAGGGCCCCAGAGGGCTAACATACAGGGCCCTAGTGGGCTAACATACAGGGCCCCAGAGGGCTAACATACAGGGCCCCAGTGGGCTAAAATACAGGGCCCCAGTGGGCTAACATACAGGGCCCCAGTGGGCTAACATACAGGGCCCCAGTGGGCTAACATACAGGGCCCCAGTGGGCTAACATACAGGGCCCCAGTGGACTAACATACAGGGCCCCAGTGGACTAACATACAGGGCCCCAGTGGGCTAACATACAGGGCCCCAGTGGGCTAACATACAGGGCCCCAGTGGGCTAACATACAGGGCCCCAGTGGACTAACATACAGGGCCCCAGTGGGCTAACATACAGGGCCCCAGAGGGCTAACATACAGGGCCCTAGTGGGCTAACATACAGGGCCCCAGTGGGCTAAAATACAGGGCCCCAGTGGGCTAAAATACAGGGCCCCAGTGGGCTAACATACAGGGCCCCAGTGGGCTAACATACAGGGCCCCAGTGGGCTAACATACAGGGCCCCAGTGGGCTAACATACAGGGCCCCAGTGGACTAACATACAGGGCCCCAGTGGACTAAAATACAGGGCCCCAGCGGTCTAACATACAGGGCCCCAGCGGGCTAACATACAGGGCCCCAGTGGGCTAACATACAGGGCCCCAGTGGGCTAACATACAGGGCCCCAGTGGGCTAACATACAGGGCCCCAGTGGGCTAACATACAGGGCCCCAGTGGGCTAACATACAGGGCCCCAGTGGGCTAACATACAGGGCCCCAGTGGACTAACATACAGGGCCCCAGTGGGCTAACATACAGGGCCCCAGAGGGCTAACATACAGGGCCCTAGTGGGCTAACATACAGGGCCCCAGTGGGCTAAAATACAGGGCCCCAGTGGGCTAAAATACAGGGCCCCAGTGGGCTAACATACAGGGCCCCAGTGGGCTAACATACAGGGCCCCAGTGGGCTAACATACAGGGCCCCAGTGGGCTAACATACATGGCCCCAGTGGGCTAACATACAGGGCCCCAGTGGACTAACATACAGGGCCCCAGTGGACTAAAATACAGGGCCCCAGCGGTCTAACATACAGGGCCCCAGCGGGCTAACATACAGGGCCCCAGCGGGCTAACATACAGGGCCCCAGTGGGCTAACATACAGGGCCCCAGTGGGCTAACATACAGGGCCCCAGTGGGCTAACATACAGGGCCCCAGTGGGCTAACATACAGGGCCCCAGTGGGCTAACATACAGGGCCCCAGTGGGCTAACATACAGGGCCCCAGTGGACTAACATACAGGGCCCCAGTGGGCTAAAATACAGGGCCCCAGTGGGCTAAAATACAGGGCCCCAGTGGGCTAACATACAGGGCCCCAGTGGGCTAACATACAGGGCCCCAGTGGGCTAACATACAGGGCCCCAGTGGGCTAACATACAGGGCCCCAGTGGGCTAACATACAGGGCCCCAGTGGGCTAACATACAGGGCCCCAGTGGGCTAACATACAGGGCCCCAGTGGGCTAACATACAGGGCCCCAGTGGGCTAAAATACAGGGCCCCAGTGGGCTAAAATACAGGGCCCCAGTGGGCTAACATACAGGGCCCCAGTGGGCTAACATACAGGGCCCCAGTGGGCTAACATACAGGGCCCCAGTGGGCTAACATACAGGGCCCCAGTGGGCTAACATACAGGGCCCCAGTGGGCTAACATACAGGGCCCCAGTGGGCTAACATACAGGGCCCCAGTGGACTAACATACAGGGCCCCAGTGGGCTAACATACAGGGCCCCAGAGGGCTAACATACAGGGCCCTAGTGGGCTAACATACAGGGCCCCAGTGGGCTAAAATACAGGGCCCCAGTGGGCTAACATACAGGGCCCCAGTGGGCTAACATACAGGGCCCCAGTGGGCTAACATACAGGGCCCCAGTGGGCTAACATACAGGGCCCCAGTGGGCTAACATACAGGGCCCCAGTGGACTAACATACAGGGCCCCAGTGGACTAAAATACAGGGCCCCAGCGGTCTAACATACAGGGCCCCAGCGGGCTAACATACAGGGCCCCAGTGGGCTAACATACAGGGCCCCAGTGGGCTAACATACAGGGCCCCAGTGGGCTAACATACAGGGCCCCAGTGGGCTAACATACAGGGCCCCAGTGGGCTAACATACAGGGCCCCAGTGGGCTAACATACAGGGCCCCAGTGGGCTAACATACAGGGCCCCAGTGGGCTACATACAGGGCCCCAGTGGGCTAACATACAGGGCCCCAGTGGGCTAACATACAGGGCCCCAGTGGGCTAACATACAGGGCCCCAGTGGGCTAACATACAGGGCCCCAGTGGAGCCGATCCGGTCCCCAGCTCGTCACGCCCCACAGGGCCCCGGAGAGGCCGGCTGGGATCATCAGTTATTCATGCTCAAACAGCCCGAGGTGTGTCATTAAAACTGCATGTGTTGCCGGTCGTGTTACTCTGCACCAGTGCTGGCTGTGAGAGATGAACACACAGCTCACTTCACACACACACTAATGACTGATCAGGGATCAGACTGGAAATACATTTCACTTTATCACACACTTCAGCACATTTGACAACAACATCTGTGGAACGATGCTGTCACACACACACAACTGTAATGCTACTTCACTACTAAAGGCAATCTGTACTTGAGTTCTGTTAAAGATGAATACCTCTACAGTTACTCAGTACATTTACATTACAATCTATGTATAGTCAATCAATGTAGACCTAAAAGTTATAAGCAGACATTATTAGTCTAAAAACCACTATATTCAAATGTCAAATCACTGTAAAATCTGCTGGCATTTTAGCTGAGAGTATTCGGGTAACAGGTTTCAGTTTAACATCTGCTGCGTCCTCAGCTTTAGTCAGATCAACGAGAACACTGGGATTCTGACAGGTTTCTCTCCACAGTTTGCTAACTCTTTATCGCCTTGGTCCACTTTAGACAATCTACTGACTATCAGTAACTTTACAACTACATGTCAACTTACTTTACTAACCCTAAACTAACAGTCTATTACAGTCTACAATACTCTAATGAGAGTTAGTTTACATGTCAGTAGAATATCTAAAGTTGAGTATGGAAATAAAGTGTAACCAAGAGTCTTTGCATTAAGAAGTTTTACTCTCTAAGACAGTTTAATTTTTTAGATACTTCAGAACAATTAAATGTGTATTTTTCAGGTGTACTTAAAATATTAAAGGGATAGTTCACCCCAAAATTAGAATTCTGTCAGTAATTACTCTCCCTCATGTTGTATTACTCAGCGCTTCTGTGTTGTACGTCACACACACACACACACACATGACCAGCGTCGGCCAATAGTGAGCCTGTGTGTGACCTACAACCCAGAAGCGCTGCGCTGTTACACTACGTGAACTCACTCGAGGCCCACAGAGAAGGAAATGAAGAGTTGAATAAAGTCGTTATTTTAGTTTGCTTTTAACGCACAAAAAGTATTCTCGTCGCTTGATAAACTTAAGGTAGAGCCACTGTAGTCACTCGGACTATTTTAACGATGTCTTCCAGCTTCGATCCCTTAAGAAGCCTATGGAGGAGTGATCCAGCTCTCAGATTTAATCACAAATATCTTAATTCGTGTCCCGAAGATGAACGAAAGTCTTACGGGGTTGAACAACATGAGGGAGAGTAATTACTGACAGAGTTTTTGGGTGAACTATCCCTTTAATTTAGTAAAATTTTTGACACAGTATCTGCACTGTAAGAGCCCCAGAAAGCAATACGACACTAAAACATCAAGTATAATTTATTTTGAAGCATTTTTGATGGAATATCCACCGCAACGCTTGAGTGGCTGCAGGAGATGCGCTTACAGGAGCTTCTTCAGCAAGGTTGATCCCTCATAAGAGTGTGTATGAGTGCAGTGTGTCGAGCCTCTGCTGTGGATGGAGACTGTCAGGAACACGTCTGAGCGGTTTGCACTGCACTCGACGCTGTTTACACTGCTAACACTGCCGGTCATGAGCTCAGCATCTCCCCAGCTCAGCCTTCTGATTGGCCGCTCATCAGCTGGTAGAGCGTCCCCGACTCCAGAGGCATAGTTACCAAACAGGTGGGGCTCCGGCGGCAGGTGTGTTTGACTATCAAATAGCACTCGCACATTCACAGAGCCGAGTCGACGGCGGCAGGGATCAGGATCACACTACACCACAGGTAAGGACTTCCTTATCAGCTTAAAATGTCATTTGCCTTTGTTAAGAGAAGTATTTTACATGTTTGAGAACACTTGGTGAAATAATTCTGATTCTGAAACAGGTTTACTAAAAATGTTATTTCTGCATGTTCTCTAAATGTCAATTTTTAATGTATTAAAAAAAATGTCTCTCTTGGTTATGAGAACGCTACAGGAACCTTCCTTTTTCATTCTGTAAACAGGAACGCTAGTTTTGAAAGTTCTCTGAAACAAGTAACATTTACAAAATATATAAATAAATAGCTATGTAATGTTTTTTGTGCAAACATTTCGAGAACATTGATCACTTTAAACAAACTCTATTAATGTTACTGGGAGAACGTTTGTTCCAGAATGTTCTACATGTGTCTAACCAGTATAACTTGATATCTGTCGAAGACAGCCACTGCTCCTGCTCCCGTAAGCGAATGTGGCATCAAGTGGTCCACGTTTATGATTCACTCTTAAAAATAAAGGTTCCAAGAGGGGCTTTCACAGCAATGCCATTGAAATAACTATTTCTGGCTGAATAGTTCAGTAAAATAAAATAAAAACTTGTTTTAATAATCTAAAGGACCTTCTGAAAGGTTCCATGGAAGGTAAAGGTTCTTCTAGGAACCATCAATACCATTACAGAACATTTCCCCCTCTGATTTGACATTAAATACCATTTTTTTTGGTTCCCCAAAACCTTTAACTGAACCTTTCAGGTATCAGTTCTTTAATAACTATTTTGACCATCTTTTTTCACTATAAAGAACCTTCTGAGCAACAAAAAGATCTCAAGAAAGCTAAAGGTTCTTCAAGGAACCATCGATGCCAATAAAGAACTTGTTTTTCCCTGATTTGCCATTAAAGAAACATTTTTTTGGTTCCCCAAAGATCCTTTCAGTTCTCAGTTCTTAAAATAACTATTTTGACCATCTTCTGCAACAGAAAGGTTCCATGGAAGGTAAAGGTTCTTCATGGAACCATCAATACCAATACAGAACATTTCCCCCTCTGATTTGACATTAAATACCATTTTTTTTGGTTCCCCAAAACCTTTAACTGAACCTTTCAGGTATCAGTTCTTAAATAACTATTTTGACCATCTTTTTCCACTATAAAGAACCTTCTGAGCAACAAAAAGATCCCAAGAAAGGTAAAGGTTCTTCAAGGAACCATCAATACCAATACAGAACATTTTCCCCTCTGATTTGACATTAAATAGCCTTTTTTTTGGTTCCCCAAAGAACCTTTCAGGTATCAGTTCTTAAAGTAACTATTTTAATAATCTTTTTCCACCATAAAGGACCTTCTGAGCAACATAAAGATCCCAAGAAAGCTAAAGGTTTTTCAAGGAACCATCGATGCCAATAAATAACTTTTTCCCCCCTGATTTGCCATTAAAGAACCATTTTTTGGTTCCCCAAGAACCTTTCAGTTCTCAGTTCTTAAAATAACTATTTTGACCAACAGAATGGTTCCACGGGAGTTAAAGGTTCTTCGTGGAACCACTAAAGACCCGTTCTCATAGAGTGTATATGATGGCCGGAAGGCGTGTAACTCTGAGTTTCCTTCGCCTCCGCAGCGGCCTGATGAAACATGAACTGGGGGTTCCTGGAGAATGTGCTGAGCGGGGTCAACAAGCACTCGACGGTGGTGGGCCGGGTGTGGCTCTCCATCCTCTTCGTGTTCCGCATCCTGGTGTTCGTGGCCGCCGCCGAGCAGGTGTGGAAGGACGAGTTCAAGGACTTCGTGTGCAACACGCAGCAGCCGGGCTGCGAGCAGGTGTGCTTCGACCACTTCTTCCCCATCTCGCAGGTGCGGCTGTGGGCCCTGCAGCTGATCATGGTGTCCACGCCGTCGCTGCTCGTGGCGCTGCACGTGGCCTACAGGGAGCACCGAGAGAGCAAGCACAAGAGGAGGCTGTACCGGGACAAAGGCAGCATCGACGGAGGCCTGCTCTTCACCTACATCATGAGTCTGGTCCTCAAAACGACCTTTGAGGTGGCCACTCTGCTGGCCTTCTACTGGCTGTACAGCGGCTTCCACGTGCCCCGGCGGCTCCAGTGTGAGGAGAGCCCCTGCCCCAACACCGTCGACTGCTACATCGCCAAGGCCACGGAGAAGAAGATCTTCCTCTACATCATGGGCTGCACCTCCATACTGTGCATTGTGCTGAATGTGGTGGAGATGGTGTACATCGTGTCCAAGACGTGCTGGAAGTGCTTCAGCAAGAGGTACGCCCCGGTGCGGGGGGTGCGGCCTCCCTCCACGCTCACGCTCGGCTCGCCACAGCTTCTGTCCGTGTCCAAGGAGGACGGCCTTCACCCGGCGCCGGCCCGGCCGGACAGCCTCACGCTCGCTGCGGCCTGAACACTGCGGCCGATGCTCATGCAGGACAAACCTGTGCTTCTCCACTGACGCCTCAAATGCAAATAACTTACCAGTCATGAGCAGCATGAGAATGCACTATTAAAGGGGAAGAGTGAGCACTTCCCATCTTTTGTTGTATTGTATACATTGCGTGTCATTTGAGTAGAATCTATGCAAATTAGACTAACGTCAACATCCCCTCATTCTCCCAAACCAAGTCCAAACCACAACCCAGATGGCATTGAATACAGGTTCCTCTGAAGTTTCTCAACAACAGTGTTTTGAGCTGAGAATCAAATGATTTAATATATTGTTGGAGCTGTAAAGCTCATGGTAAGACCGTCAACATTTGAAGTGGATAAAAACCTTTCATCAAAGTTAAACGTGAAATTTGAATGCCCGTTCTTCTCTTAGGACAACTTTGAAGAACTTTTTTGATCCACTTCAAATGTTGACTACTGTATTAATATATTTATTTTTGTATGATAAACAATAGTGGTAATGTCTAATGCAAACCCAGAACCACTGGATTAGACTGCACTTATTTGAATACTGCATTTCTAAAATAAACATCCTTATCAGATAACCACGGTGGACTAGTGTGTGGTAGCGGGAAACTGAGTGGCTTGAGAACAGAGGGAAAAAGTAAATGAGTCCACTACTGTAAAAGCGATACCCACTAGATATGAGCTGCCGTATACAGACGGGTCTAATTTAGGGATGCGCGATTTATCCACCACCATATCGAAAATTTGCCCGATATATTTAAGCCTGTAAATAATGGATTATTTCCTTCAGCTGAGACGGTTCCGATGCGCACTGTTCAACATGATGTTTTTGAATTGCTTGAAATATGTTTGGAATCACTTTGTAAAGGAAAAACAAAGTTAAGTGCAACACAAGTCTGTCATATAGGCTACATAAAATTATGAGAACATCGTTATAATTGTGTGATTGGGACATGTGACTTTTGTTTTTATAACCAGGCACTCAAAAATTATATAAAAATTAGGATTTAGATTTATCAGCCAATATATCGGCGGCTTTCAAAATTTTCATATGGGTGCATCCCTAGTCTCATTCACCCTTGTGTCAGACTCTAAAATCTATTCATCTATCAATGCATTATAAACAATGTCTGTTTATATGATAATGGCTTTTGTACTGAGCTAATCATATTTTCCTAGAATTTCAATAAAACACTGTTTAACATGTGTAAGCTGTAGTGTCACCCCTCTTTTTTTGAACAGACATGAAAATGCACATTTCGAATTTAAATGGTTGTAATTCAAGAAGGCTTTGGAATATAGACGTAAGATTGGTCTTGACAGATCATTTGGCAGATTTTTGTAGAGGTGAAATAAATTAAGAAAGTGAAACAGAAAAAAAGTTATAGAAGTTTGAGTTTATGGAAATGTACAATGTAAAAAAAAATGATTATTCATATTTTATATAAAATATGTATATTTACAAGACCTGGGCGACTCTAAAACTGCAGAAGAATCACAGCCAAAAATCTGAACAAGTTGTTTAAAGTTTTAGGTTGATATCTCAGTAAATGAGCTTTCAGTGAGAGTGTGTTTGTCTGCAGTACCGAACGCTTCCACTAGGGCACAACCAGACTCCATTACTGCCCATATAAGGGCACCTCATTTCCATATGCGTTTTGATTGATATGAACCATTATTTCCACAATTTTCATTCAATTTATGAAGTAGACATCCTATTCAGAAGTGTATGAGAAGTTTGGCCGATTTTGATTTGAATTCAACCTCTAAGAAACACATACAAAGAACACGCATGTGCGTTATAGCTTCCTGCCACATCACAAATGGTGAATTTATTATTTTTTTCTTTATATTTAAAACATTTTCAGACCTTTTTTTCTAAAATAATAGAATGGATGCTATCTTTTGAACTCTTGGCATGAAAACAAACTGAGGTTTTTACCATTTTTTCATGATTCATCACCATTTCAAAATAAAGGTCTGAACACGCCTTAGTAGTATGAAAATATTCGTTGCAAATTGATAAATTACGGCTCCTCTAATTTATTTCGAAAATCGGTCGAAAATATGGACACTAGAGATTGTAAGATAAGATTTCAAATGATATATAGTTTGTCAATATTACTTAAAGGGATACTCCACCCAAAAATGAAAATTCTGTCATCATTTACTCACCCTCAAGTTGTTGCAAACCTGTATGAGTTTCTTTCTTATGCTGAACACAAAGGAAGATATTTTGAAGAACGATTGGAACCAAACAGTTGTTTGGCACCATTGACTTCCATAGTAGGAAAAAAAAAAATACTATGGAAGTCAATGGTGCCAAAGTTCCAATCGTTCTTCAAAATATCTTCCTTTGTGTTCAGCAGAAGAAAGAAACTCATACAGGTTTGCAACAACTTGAGGGTGAGTAAATGATGACAGAATTTTCATTTTTGGGTGGAGTATCCCTTTAAGGTTTTTACGAAGATATTATCGTTTTAAAAATATAATGGCAAACGTCCCACCTGTGGGACGGTGACAGGACATAACCTCTAAAAACCATGTTTACATCATAAAGTGCCTGTAACTATGCATAACCATGTATTCAAGAAAACACAGCATTATATTGGACATCAGCCAACTAATCTCTCATAAGCATATCACCGTTCAAAATCATATGACTGTGCCTTTAAGGATGAGACCAACACTGAGTAACAAAATGCAAGCTGTATTAAATTGGTTGCTATTGATTAACATACAGACTGCTGGTGGCAGTAGTTGATCAAAGCGCCACACACAACATTATTGACAAATTTCCGATTTACAAGGACCAAAACAGTTACGAATTATACACAGCACTACATAACATCAGAATTGATAATAATTCACTTTCAGCTGGATAGAAAAGAGTCCAATGGAATATTAAAAAGTACGAGTCTATACAATACTCAAAAAGAAAATTAAAAAAACTCCAAAGGCAACAGAAATGTGCTGAACAGCTTCATAAGGACAAACATGCTTTAGAGGTATTTCATCATCTACTGCAACTATAAAGTGAGCTTAAACTTACACAGTTCTGTTAAGTAATAAACATCGCACTAGGGGCCTTTAAGATAGTGGGTGTAGTGTTTGTCAGATCATAGAACGTCCCCACAGCTCCTTGACAAGCAACCACCTTTCAGCAGTCACGTCTGGATAGAGATAAACTTCCAGTTAAAACTAATGATTGGGCACTGGTTTGCAGCAAGTTCACCCCCACTTTCGTCCTGAGTTCAGACAACATGACATGAGGGTCTGTACACTAGTTGTCTTTTTCAAGGATCACTGTGGGTCGCATTTCATGAAGCTGCTTTAGAAGAATTTCAAGGACATCAGAAAAAACTTTTTGCACCTCAAATGTGACATTGCTGAGTGAGGTCAACTTTTGGGGATTTTTAAATTCAACAAGCTTGAGGACATCTCTCGAGTGCAATTGTGCGTCAGATCTTTTGCACACGACTGTCGCAGTCTTTAGGTGGAAAGCAGTCTGCAGTCTTTTGTGCGCACTTCCGTTCAGCGGTACCGTTGCCTTTCTCTTATGGGATGTCTTGGTTTCCTGGAGAAACTGAAGAAAGGACACCTCAAATCCAATGGGCTTGAATGAACTCAGCAGTGTGTTTTGACCAGACACGTCTTCCTGTGTCATGGTAGCGCTGGAGGACATGGAATCGGTGTTCAAGTCCACATAGTTGACTGCACAACTCCTTGCAGTCCTGAGTCTCGTCACCCTTTTAGGGCCTAAGGACTTCTTTACACTGTCGATCTTGCGCGGACGCCCCCTCCGCCGCTTGACCACCACCGATATCTCCGAGCAGGTGTCAGTCGAAGGCTTGCTGTCTGACAGATCGACGTCCTCTGTGCTCTCCTTCTCAGACGTGGGCTTCGAGAACTCGGACTCACTCTGGCCCGGCTCAGCGACTTCATCATTCTCAGTCGTCTCAATGGAGCTCTCCTCAGACTTATCCGTGTCGTCGCTCCGGGAAGCGATGCGCTTGTACTTGGACCGGGGTATCTTTTTACAGTAGATAAAGTTGCTCCTCTGCTCTTCCAGGTACTGTTTTGGGAGCCCATGCTGAAGATAATGTTTCATTATATTTCGCTCAGAACTGGTCACCGTTTCGCAACCCTTTATCATACAAGCGTACTGGAGTTGTAAGCGCTTGGTGCACATGGCAGCCGCTTCTTCCTGTGTTTTCAAAATAGGTTTCCCATACTTAGTCCAATTACTTTTATTTGCTTTTCTCTTTTTAAGAGCTACCTTTTTAAGAGCTAACTTTTTAAGAACTACCTTTTTAAGAGCTACCTTCTTAATAGCTACCTTCTTAATAGGTTTCTTATTAGTCTCTCGGTTTTCCTTCTCGACAACTTCAATCTTTTCATACTTCCTGGGACGACCCAGTTTAACCCCTCTCCCGCCTTCTCGTGGGTTCATGAGCAGCCGTTTGTACACGTCTTGGTGTTTCTTCATGGTGTGCCGTAGTAGATTTGACCGTGTGCTGTAAGCGCATTCACATCCTTCCACCTGACATCTGAACATCCCTTCTATGGGCTCGACTTTTGAGGGATTGGTTTCTTTATGCTCTTTGTCGACATGGCCGATATATTTCCAGAAAGCAGTGAATGTCTCTGAGCAGTTTGGCTGATCACATTGAAACCTGCCCAGGTTGATACTGCACATCCTGGCACCTGCTTTCTCGAGGGTTAATTTGTGGAGCTGAAGGTAGTGCTGGAGCAAGTCTGTAACTGACAGAAAAATGCGAGAACAGTCTTTGACTTGACACCTGAGCTCATCCACTTCCTTTATGTCCGCGTCCAACTTGTCTTCACTCTCCTCATTTCCATCCTTGTCCTCGACCTCCTCTTCGTTCTGTTCATCTTGGCTGTTGACCTCAAATTTAGGCAAAGACGACTGATGCACAGCTTTATAATGCAGGATCAAATTCTGTTGGATTGTAAAAGCTGCCACACAGCCCTGGTGAACACAACGATAAGGTCTATAAGGACTAAATACGTCATCGATCTCTGCTTTTTTCTCTTTTGTTTTTTTGGGAGATTCTTTTGGCTTTGCAACTCGAGGCTTGCTAGGTTTGGGCCTTTTGTCCAATGACTGATTTAATGTCTGTACTGGTGCACAAGGATTCTGGGTAAAAGGAGCTATGGGCAGTATCTCTTTTAGTGGTGACACATGGGTTTGACCAAAAACAGAAGACTTTGTGGGAAACCATCCATTTGCGTTCGGATCCATTCTTGGAGTCACCGAAGAACAGCCAGACACAATCACCGAAGACTGAACAGCCATCTGAGTTTGCGGAGTAACTGTATGTGTTCCCAATGCAGGACTTTTGATTTGAGGCGCAAAAGAAGATTTCTGGACTAGCAATGGAATAATGCAACGTGATTTTTTGACATTATCTTCTCTCTTGAAGCCTGAAGAACATTTAGCATCTTTCTGCTGTTTGCGTGCATCCACACGTTGAGTTTTTTTAACTGGTTTGGGGGTTTCTGGCACTGGACAAGGGCTCCCTGCATCACTATCCAGGAGTCTGTGATTGGGCTTAGGCCTAATTTTCATCCTCTTTATTTCTTCCTGTGAATAGTTATGAACTGACATATAATGGGCTTTGAGATTGGAGTTGCGTGTGAAGGCCTTAGAACATTTTTGACACCCGAAAGGGGAAACATTAAACTGGTCTTTCATTTGAGTTAACATTTTATCAGTGTAATTGTGGATCTTGACAAGGTGTTTAAAAAGAGCATCTTTCGTCATGCAACTGTAATTACAACCATTTGTGTCACATACAAATGGTTTCACATAAATTGGTATCTCCTTGGGTAAATCCTTAGGCTCTGGTTGTGGCTTATTAGGCTGTGCTTCACTCACTGCAGGAACAGCCACAGTTTTGGTAACCTCACTGATTTCTCTGTCTAGGTCAAGATTCTCGAGAGCTTTTTGGAGTTCCAACACTTCATCCACTTCGGTTATGGGCATATTGTTGGACTGATCATTGACCCCACTTCCCGAAGGTACAGACGAAACAGGGTGAATGAAGCCATCATTTGGACTCATGTCACCCAATTGTGAAACTGCCTCGACAGGGACTTTGGCTGTGTTTTCCACAGCTTGCAGCTCACTTTGAGGTGCATTCTCAATCAAGTTTGAGGTATGTTGTGGATCCCCAATGTCAGGACTTGCTACAGACATTTGTGAGTAGGAACTGTCAACACTTGATCCACGAGGCAAGCTGCTTTTTTTGTAAAGGTCTCCAGCCAATATCTGTTCACGTAGTTTTTCTTTGACACTCTTTTCAGACACCAGGTTTTGAGCAAGACTTGCCATGGCTGCCAGAAGTCCATCATTTGACAAGTCACTTGCACTGTCGGTTGTTCTTTCCTTGATGTCTTTCATTTTGTTTAATGTTTCAGCTTGTAGAATTTGACCGACATGATCTGATGAACCGCTATTCAGGCTGGATGTAGACTGGTCATCAGCCAACAATTGAGAAAGAAGAGGATCACTGACATCGTCACTAAACAGTGGGTTAGACATCTCAGAATAACTCGCTTGAAGCTGATGTTTGACACTACCAGTATGCTGTATGACACTAGTTTCAGACATACGGCTGCTCTGAGCATATGGACCACAGGGGTTAGGAACCGTCTGCTGTTGCCCAGAACTCACACAAATATTTGACGGGCTCTGCTTAAACACTCCCCCCATCTGTTTGCCATTGCTGTTATAGGTGCCATTGGCTTGGGGAAAAGTGACATTTGGGTATAGTTTTGGATCAAGAGGGCCCTTACTCAATGGCAGGTTCACATATGAAGATGGTGCTGGATGTGGCGAGTTAAGAAGATCAAGAAATGAACTGGGGAGGTCCGCTGTCAAATCAGCTTCATCAAATGGTTTGCAATGAGCCCGTTTTGACAAATGTCCTCCCAGAGATTTAGGACTCGGGAATTCTCTATAACACCTGCAGCAAATGAACTTGCCATCTTTAATAATTGCAGGCCATTTTGTTCTTTTGCTTCGTTTAACTTTTTTGCTGCCTTTATCACTGGACACATTTCCAGTGTTATTCTGACAACTTGGAGAACTGCTATTTGATGGGGGAGTTTCATTGATCTGAAGTGGTAAAGCTAAAGCTGTATCTCTCTCCAACTTCACCACACACTGACTGTTAGTTACTGAAGTGAAATTATCATTTGTTTGCCGTGTGTAATCTGCCGAAGAATCTTTAGAAACTGAATTGTTCAAACGGTCATTGAAAGAGGGCAAGACAGACATTTGAGCAGATCCCAGATTTGTCTCTACTACAGAATTAAGGGCTACCACTGCATTAGGGCCCATAATTTGCTGCGGTGGACTGAGATTGCCGACTGAATGTATACTTTCATCTGAGGTGCCATTGAGTTTTTGAACGCTGTCTGCTTGAGCTGGTGCTGGGTAAACATTAGTATTACTCTGCGGTTGAAGAGTAGTATAGCTCATACTTCTCTTCTGTGCGTCCTCACTAGAAGCTGCATTCATGCGAGTAAATTGACTGCTAGAATGTGTGTTCATGTTTTGGGTCATTGATTGAGAATTACATATCTGCTGTTGGAGTATTGAATTGTTCCTGGGATCCCACAAGTGGTCTGCTGCCATTTGAGACTGATTTGTACTATTTCCAAGCTGAGAGAGAACAATGGGATCTAATATATTGTCCATTTCATTGGTACGGATATGCCCTGGGGAAGCAGTGACTTGAGAGGAGACAGAAGGGTAGTTGGGGTTCTGTGGGGCAACTGTGCAGTTGGTTGGGTAGGGAGGATGCTGGCTCAGGGGATTCTGTGTCTGAACACCAAGGCAGGCAACTCTTTGGCCCAGCTGGTCTTGTGGATTCACAACTGAATTGAGGCTTCCATTTACAGGAACAGATCTGAGCGTGGATGGGACTGCAACATTGTTCTTCTTTGCTAGTTTCCACTGTGTGTAAAATTCAGAATGAACAGCCCTCATGTGCTTAGTAACACTTCTGTAAGAGCTATAGTCTCGAGTACATGTTTCATAGGGACATTTGTGTCTCTCTTTGTTTTTCACCACTTGGACAACATTCATATCTACTGGTTTCACCGATTTGTTCTCCAATACTTGTCCATTATTTGGCATGGAAGCCATTTGTAGAGGAAGGGTCTGAGAAACAGGAGGAAGCATCTGACCCAAAGAAACAAGTGGAGCTGTATTGTGGCATGTCTGTGTTGGAGAGGCCATTTTGCTACTACACAGGTTCTGATATGATGTTTGAACCGGAGCTAAAGGATTAGGACTGAACTGCCGAAATACTCCATTGGTATTGTTGTATAATGGAGTAGTACCAGAATCAGCTGTCTGCAGCTGACCATCAGTTGGTGGGACAGGCAGAAAGTCCTCTAATACACTCTGGTATGAAGATGTAGACGGCATGGGATCTGAATCACTCATCAAGGCCTCCAAAAGAGATTCCTCCGGTCTATGCTGAATTAAGTGAGGCGCTTGAGTGCCCACAGCTGACTGGCCCAAGAGGTCATTGATCTGAGGGATTTGCTGTTGGATGGGATGTTGTTCAGGTTTACTTGTCCCAGAATGGACACACTCTTGAGCGGAAACTGTAAAATTGCTACTTAGCATATTTTCAACAGAATGCTTTATCCCCATGTCAGATGGACGATCCTCTTGAGACCCTGTGCTGTTTTCATTGAAATGGGAGACTGAGAGAGAGCCAGGCAGAGCAGAGTCCTGATCTATTTGATTGGAGTGGTCTGGATTAGGTTCCTCTCGTTGAATACTTAGACTGTCAGTGCCTTGGGCTTCCACTTTTACGACATGGCTCTCAGCATGGAGGTCTAATTCGGTCTGTGAATGAAACACTTTACCACAGTCTGGTACTTTGCAGGTAAATGTTCTGTAATGCTGTGACTCATGGTCATACAGTTTGTAGGGTTCATGGAAAATCTTGCCGCAACCCGGAAACATACACCTAGCCTTGAAGACTGGGTGGTCTTTCTTATGTACGATAAGTTCGGCATTGGAGTCAAAGCTGGCTTTGCAATTAAGCTGTATGCAAATGTATGGTTTGGTGCCACAGTGCACCTGTAGGTGATCATTTAAGTGATCAACACTGACAAACTGACGACGGCAATACTGGCACACCACTTTTGTGTTCTGCATTTCAAGGAAGCACTTCGCTTCCTCATTGTCGCCATGATCTTTCACATGGGCAACAAGATTTCGGAAATATTTAAATCCCCTCCTGCAGCTTTGGACTGGACAAATATTCCCATCACAACTGTTTTTGAAGTCTAAGTAATCAGAGTCATTGGCAGCTCCATTACTAAGTTTGTTGGATTGCCCACCACTGTTGTTTTTTGTCTTGTTTTTGCGCACCTGATTTTCACTGCTTTTAGCTTTCAGGGCAGCTATGACAGGAGCAGCCGTTTTGGGGTTAGATAATTGCTTGCTAGTCTTCATTGCAGCGAGGCGCTCTTTGCAAGAAAGTTTAACATGCGATGCAACATGTGGTTCAAGAGTCTCTTTTGTTTCAAAGGTCTCTAAACATATTGGGCAGCTGTAGGATCCATCTTTGAAGTGAGTCTGCGCATGACGCACTATTCGGTGACCCAGAAACTCCTTATCGCATAAAACACAGTACTGCATGTAAGCCTGCCAGTTTCTAAACCTTGCTGAGACAAACCCTTTTCCTCTCAACTTTTTCAACTCTCTGTTCTTCTGCTTTTGATCTTCCATTTCATTTAGTTCATTAGTTGTATCCAGAAAGTGCTGTGAGAGATCCTTGAAGTCCTCACTAAAGATGCCGGTCTCTTCCCCTAAGTCCTCAGGGTCACCGTCGTTCAGTTCATCAATGGAGGACACAATTGAGGCCTCCTCCCCCATTAGACCCAAACAGTGGCGTTTTAATGCCTTCCAGTTCCAGTACTCGGGATCAAAAGGCCACAGGGTTTTGAGGACTAAAAGGAGCTCACAGCGCAGCGAGTTTGATACCGGCAGGTCTTCCTCATCTAGCTTCTGGTCTGGCTCATTGTAAAGAGTTTCCACTGCATAGTAAGAGTCCACGGTTGGCTCCAGGAGAAACTCTGTCAGTTGGCAGGCTCTTTTGACCTCCAGGTCAGAGGGTAAGAGGCAGGATATGGTTTTGCAGACAGTGGCCTTGGTGTTCCCTTCGCACGATTCCAATCGTAGAGCTCGTATGCAGATCTCAACACAAGTCGAAAGTCCAACTTTGTCCATCTATTGATTTGAAAAAGGAGTATTTAGTTTTCAAGATATATGATCACATATAAAATTAACAGCAAGTAGGCAAGAAAAAGAACAGGCTCACCTCTGACTGGATGACTTTGATGAAGAAGAGTAGGTGGAACACAGTTTTAGACAGAAATGACATCTGACGGCATCTGTCCAAAAAGCCTTGATCTGAAGGCTCTAACCGCTTGAGCAGTTTTCCCCAGAACAGAGTCAACTCCCTGCCAAAGATTACAAACAACATCCCTCAAATTATTTAGAAATAGCACACTTTAAATTAAAAGGCCTTTTTAAAAGAGATTTATTATAGTTGCAGCAAATTCATATTTGTCATTTCCCAATTCTACACTGATTTTACAAGGATTGGAAACATGTGACTTGCCAAGCACAGTAGGTATCCTCCTGTAGAATCTGACGGGTCAAAAACCCAGAACACAATGTAAATGCAGCTTTCTCGTCACCATCTGCCTCAAGGTTACAAATCATCTCTAGAGCATCACGACAGTCCACTTTTGAGAGCTGAAGAGGAAGGGAAAGAAATCGCAGATGTAAACTCTATAATTTGTCCTCTGAATTATGAAAATCGACTTCCAAAGGCCTTATGACAACAATCAAGTTCAAATTTGAATTCACACTAGGGCTGTCAAAATGGCTGAACAGCTAAATTTGAATTTCTCCTAAATATTAGCAAAACTCGAATTATATTCGAATTCTAAAGGCAATACTTAAAGGGATACTTCAGGATTTAGCATTAAGCTTTGTGTTAGTAGAAAACCTGTAGTATTTTAGAATTACCATGCTTTCCACCCTCATATCCCCCTGAGACGAGAGATTTGTGTATAATTTGTCTGGAAAAAATCCTCCGATGACGCAAACATCGTCATTTTGCGTCATTGGAGGATTTTTTGGCCAGAGGCTAAAGACTACAGCCAGTAGTAGGAGCTGTCCCGCATGTTCTCAACCCGCCCATAGAGGGTGGGATCTCACTCACAGAATGTACACATAGCATCAGTCATCTTTTTTTGGAAGCTAAGCTAGCAGGCTCTTGTTCTGTGGAGAAAGCTGAGTAGTAGGGGTTACCATCCTCTTTTTCCCGGACATGTCCGGGATTCAGCTTTTGCTTTCTGCAGTCGCCATTCATTGTTTACATGCGCACCTTTTGTTTCAATCTAACTGAATTCAATCCGATTGGTGAATCTGAATGTAGTGTTTACATGAACGCTAAACAAGTGATCGGTTGATGTGCGTTTTAACATTGCTAAGAAAATTCCCGCTCCTCCGTGAGAGATACGAGACCGGTGCGTCTCACAGGTGTCGCTCATCAGTAATCACGCCATCGGCCTCGCGCCGTTCTCCCGCGGCCCTCACTCGTCCTGCTCGCCACAGTAAACATGACTCGTGTCGTTCTCCCACGGCCCTCACTCGTCCTGCTCGCCACAGTAAACATGACTCGTGTCGTTCTCCCGCGGCCCTCACTCGTCCTGCTCGCCACAGTAAACATGACTCGTGTCGTTCTCCCGCGGCCCTCACTCGTCCTGCTCGCCACAGTAAACATGACTAGTGTCGTTCTCCCGCGGCCCTCACTCGTCCTGCTCGCCACAGTAAACATGACTCGTGTCGTTCTCCAGCGGCCCTCACTCGTCCTGCTCGCCACAGTAAACATGACTCGTGTCGTTCTCCAGCGGCCCTCACTCGTCCTGCTCGCCACAGTAAACATGACTCGTGTCGTTCTCCCGCGGCCCTCACTCGTCCTGCTCGCCACAGTAAACATGACTCGCGCAGTTCTCCCTCGGCCCTCACTCGTCCTGCTCGCCACAGTAAACATGACTCGTGTCGTTCTCCCGCGGCCCTCACTCGTCCTGCTCGCCACAGTAAACATGACTCGTGTCGTTCTCCCGCGGCCCTCACTCGTCCTGCTCGCCACAGTAAACATGACTCGTGTCGTTCTCCCGCGGCCCTCACTCGTCCTGCTCGCCACAGTAAACATGACTCGTGTCGTTCTCCCGCGGCCCTCACTCGTCCTGCTCGCCACAGTAAACATGACTCGTGTCGTTCTCCCGCGGCCCTCACTCGTCCTGCTCGCCACAGTAAACATGACTCGTGTCGTTCTCCCACGGCCCTCACTCGTCCTGCTCGCCACAGTAAACATGACTCGTGTCGTTCTCCAGCGGCCCTCACTCGTCCTGCTCGCCACAGTAAACATGACTCGTGTCGTTCTCCCGCTGCCCTCACTCGTCCTGCTCTCCACAGTAAACATGACTCGTGTCGTTCTCCCGCGGCCCTCACTCGTCCTGCTCGCCACAGTAAACATGACTCGTGTCGTTCTCCCGCGGCCCTCACTCGTCCTGCTCGCCACAGTAAACATGACTCGTGTCGTTCTCCCGCGGCCCTCACTCGTCCTGCTCGCCACAGTAAACATGACTCACGCCGTTCTCCAGCGGCCCTCACTCGTCCTGCTCGCCACAGTAAACATGACTCGTGTCGTTCTCCCGCGGCCCTCACTCGTCCTGCTCGCCACAGTAAACATGCCTCGCGCCGTTCTCCCGCGGCCCTCACTCGTCCTGCTCGCCACAGTAAACATGACTCACGCCGTTCTCCAGCGGCCCTCACTCGTCCTGCTCGCCACAGTAAACATGACTCGTGTCGTTCTCCCGCGGCCCTCACTCGTCCTGCTCGCCACAGTAAACATGCCTCGCGCCGTTCTCCCGCGGCCCTCACTCGTCCTGCTCGCCACAGTAAACATGACTCGTGTCGTTCTCCAGCGGCCCTCACTCGTCCTGCTCAACACAGTAAACATGACTCGTGTCGTTCTCCCGCGGCCCTCACTCGTCCTGCTCGCCACAGTAAACATGACTCGTGTCGTTCTCCCGCGGCCCTCACTCGTCCTGCTCAACACAGTAAACATGACTCGTGTCGTTCTCCCGCGGCCCTCACTCGTCCTGCTCGCCACAGTAAACATGACTCGTGTCGTTCTCCCGCGGCCCTCACTCGTCCTGCTCGCCACAGTAAACATGACTCGTGTCGTTCTCCCGCGGCCCTCACTCGTCCTGCTCGCCACAGTAAACATGCCTCGCGCCGTTCTCCTGCGGCCCTCACTCGTCCTGCTCGCCACAGTAAACATGACTCGTGTCGTTCTCCCGCGGCCCTCACTCGTCCTGCTCAACACAGTAAACATGCCTCGCGCCGTTCTCCTGCGGCCCTCACTCGTCCTGCTCGCCACAGTAAACATGACTCGTGTCGTTCTCCCGCGGCCCTCACTCGTCCTGCTCGCCACAGTAAACATGCCTCGCGCCGTTCTCCCGCGGCCCTCACTCGTCCTGCTCGCCACAGTAAACATGACTCACGCCGTTCTCCAGCGGCCCTCACTCGTCCTGCTCGCCACAGTAAACATGACTCACGCCGTTCTCCAGCGGCCCTCACTCGTCCTGCTCTCCACAGTAAACATGACTCGTGTCGTTCTCCCGCGGCCCTCACTCGTCCTGCTCGCCACAGTAAACATGACTCGTGTCGTTCTCCCGCGGCCCTCACTCGTCCTGCTCGCCACAGTAAACATGCCTCGCGCCGTTCTCCCGCGGCCCTCACTCGTCCTGCTCGCCACAGTACACATGACTCGTGTCGTTCTCCCGCGGCCCTCACTCGTCCTGCTCACCACAGTAAACATGACTCGTGTCGTTCTCCCACGGCCCTCACTCGTCCTGCTCGCCACAGTAAACATGACTCGTGTCGTTCTCCCGCGGCCCTCACTCGTCCTGCTCGCCACAGTAAACATGACTCGTGTCGTTCTCCCGCGGCCCTCACTCGTCCTGCTCAACACAGTAAACATGACTCGTGTCGTTCTCCCGCGGCCCTCACTCGTCCTGCTCGCCACAGTAAACATGACTCGTGTCGTTCTCCCACGGCCCTCACTCGTCCTGCTCGCCACAGTAAACATGACTCGTGTCGTTCTCCCGCGGCCCTCACTCGTCCTGCTCAACACAGTAAACATGACTCGTGTCGTTCTCCCGTGGCCCTCACTCGTCCTGCTCGCCACAGTAAACATGACTCGTGTCGTTCTCCCGCGGCCCTCACTCGTCCTGCTCGCCACAGTAAACATGACTCGTGTCGTTCTCTCGCGGCCCTCACTCGTCCTGCTCGCCACAGTAAACATGACTCGTGTCGTTCTCCCGCGGCCCTCACTCGTCCTGCTCGCCACAGTAAACATGACTCGTGTCGTTCTCCCGCGGCCCTCACTCGTCCTGCTCGCCACAGTAAACATGACTCGTGTCGTTCTCCCGCGGCCCTCACTCGTCCTGCTCGCCACAGTAAACATGACTCGTGCCGTTCTCCCGCGGCCCTCACTCGTCCTGCTCGCCACAGTAAACATGACTCGTGTCGTTCTCCCGCGGCCCTCACTCGTCCTGCTCGCCACAGTAAACATGACTCGTGCCGTTCTCCCGCGGCCCTCACTCGTCCTGCTCGCCACAGTAAACATGACTCGTGTCGTTCTCTCGCGGCCCTCACTCGTCCTGCTCGCCACAGTAAACATGACTCGTGTCGTTCTCCCGCGGCCCTCACTCGTCCTGCTCGCCACAGTAAACATGACTCGTGTCGTTCTCCCGCGGCCCTCACTCGTCCTGCTCGCCACAGTAAACATGACTCGTGTCGTTCTCCCGCGGCCCTCACTCGTCCTGCTCGCCACAGTAAACATGACTCGTGTCGTTCTCCCACGGCCCTCACTCGTCCTGCTCGCCACAGTAAACATGACTCGTGTCGTTCTCCCGCGGCCCTCACTCGTCCTGCTCAACACAGTAAACATGACTCGTGTCGTTCTCCCGTGGCCCTCACTCGTCCTGCTCGCCACAGTAAACATGACTCGTGTCGTTCTCCCGCGGCCCTCACTCGTCCTGCTCGCCACAGTAAACATGACTCGTGTCGTTCTCTCGCGGCCCTCACTCGTCCTGCTCGCCACAGTAAACATGACTCGTGTCGTTCTCCCGCGGCCCTCACTCGTCCTGCTCGCCACAGTAAACATGACTCGTGTCGTTCTCCCGCGGCCCTCACTCGTCCTGCTCGCCACAGTAAACATGACTCGTGTCGTTCTCCCGCGGCCCTCACTCGTCCTGCTCGCCACAGTAAACATGACTCGTGTCGTTCTCCCGCGGCCCTCACTCGTCCTGCTCGCCACAGTAAACATGACTCGTGCCGTTCTCCCGCGGCCCTCACTCGTCCTGCTCGCCACAGTAAACATGACTCGTGTCGTTCTCTCGCGGCCCTCACTCGTCCTGCTCGCCACAGTAAACATGACTCGTGTCGTTCTCCCGCGGCCCTCACTCGTCCTGCTCGCCACAGTAAACATGACTCGTGTCGTTCTCTCGCGGCCCTCACTCGTCCTGCTCGCCACAGTAAACATGCCTCGCGCCGTTCTCCCGCGGCCCTCACTCGTCCTGCTCGCCACAGTAAACATGACTCGTGTCGTTCTCTCGCGGCCCTCACTCGTCCTGCTCGCCACAGTAAACATGCCTCGCGCCGTTCTCCCGCGGCCCTCACTCGTCCTGCTCGCCACAGTAAACATGACTCGTGTCGTTCTCCCGCGGCCCTCACTCGTCCTGCTCGCCACAGTAAACAATGAATGGCGGCTGTAGAACGCAAAAGCCGAATCCTGGACATTTTGGGCGATCTCGAAACACATTTTCGGGCAGACTCATCACGGAGACTCACTAGTAGCCTAGACTTGTTGTTTAACTACTGCGCTCTGTTACCAGTAGGCCTGGCCTCCTAGGGCAGCGGAGCAAGTGCATTCTGGGAGTTGTCTTTCATCCACATAAGCCAAAAATACATTTTCTGGCTTTTCTCAGTCTAGAAAGCTCCAAATTCAAAAATAATTTCACATTTCTTCTACATAAATGACCTATTTTAAATACACATTCATCTTTCCAGAGGTGAAGTATCCCTTTAATGTTAGAGGAAAAAAGTACTGTAGTTTCCTATGCCCACAAGAGGGCGCAAGTGAGCGCAATAAGCACATTTAAACCAAATCAAGCATCTTTTTAAAAAAATAAAATCACATTCACTTTTTAAAGTGCATTAACTTTTCAAACAATTGTTCTGAAATAAAACCTAATAATTTCCTTAATGTGCATGCAAGGAAAATTAGGTTGCAACAGTGCATGAAACTGTGAGTGCATCAGTGACCTGAGAAAACACACTTCAACACACAGCGTAATGAACTACATGAACACAAAATAGAGAAAACTGCCATTCAGAAACACTCCACTTCTACTCACTACACATCTACATATTGTTCGTCAAAAACGCCAAATTGTCAATAGTCAACTTGATCTGCAGCGAGTGCTGAGCGCTTTTTGTTTCCAGCTAATGAAAACACACGCTCAGCTCTAAACGATGTGCAGGTTTGGTCAAGTATGTCATTGCACGATTTTTGCCACCAACTGAGAGTAGGGCCCTATAATTTACACGATCACGGAATCGCGGAATTGGCCAATTAACGCGGAATTTTACATATTTGGAATGAAATTCTGTTTTTGTGTGGGAGAAGAACGTATGTCTGGGGAAAATGCAGACCGGGGGAAGCAAATCTGGGCGACACAACCCCTCCCGTCATTTCAGCTCCAATGACGGCATCAAAACATTGAAAGCATGGCGAAGCGGTTCTCCACGGCTCTGCTTTCGTTGACGAAAAAGTTAAGAAACTCGACGCTAAGCCCTCAGTACCGAGCCGAGCAGTTCGCACGTGACTTTTATAAAGTGTTTCCCACACATAGACTAATTCGTGGAGGTGCGCCACAGAATCAACACCGGCCGCCACATATTGCATTTCGTTCATTTTGTTTAATGCTATTTAAAACACGCAGCGCATCAGTTGCATTTCCTTTCCCTCCGTCTCTCTGTCACTCACACGTCTCTCTCTCTCTCACACACACACACACCCCCGTGCACGTCTGTCTATGAGGTGCCGGACTGGACAAAAGCGAAGTGACACTGCGCGAAAGAGACCGAGTGTGTCCGAGAGTGAGCTCGACAGAGTGTGACTTATTTAAACTTATGTAAACTAATATAATTTATTTTACTGGACAGTTTAAAGCTCATAACCATATTTTTTTGTTACTTGAAGTACTCAGAGTGCAGTGTTATGTTGCATCATGCTGTATTTGTGCTGAAAAGTCAGAGTAAATGTCTGTTACCTCAATAAATTTAAAGTCATTCCTGTTTTATTTGTGTACATTTTAATTATTAACATTAAAAGGCACACTCTTTTTACAAAAAATAAATAAAACGGAATTTGGGAAAAAATAAAACGGATTTTATAGGGCCCTATGAGAGGGTTTTCATCGGGAGGAAGCCTTTTTCAGATTAACAACTAGGGCTGACTTCTAATAGTCGAGGATTCGACGATTCGATTCGGAGAGGTCTGATTCGACTGTGAACCTCATAGTCGAATAGTAGGGAAGTGTTATGTTACGTAACCAATTAGGGGTGTGACGGTTATTATATAACTGTGAGACCGACGGTTATAGTTGAACACCGTCATTAGAACTCTATAACCGGCAAAACCGTGCTATTCAAATATTTTTTACAAACATTTTTTATCATAGAGAATGTTTAAATACTAATATCATCTTACGAGGGAAACGGAGGCGGAGTTAGTGGTGCTTCAGAGGCTGAGTGCTGGAGATGATTCGGGAGAGGTCTGTGCCCCTTTACCGATCAGAGCGCGCGCTGACACGGAGTAGGCTAAAGCCTTGTTTATACCTATGGTTTATACTCGACGCGTCCGCACGAGCGCGAAGGTGCGCACGGCAAAAAATGACGCGTTGGGTGCGCAAGACCGGCAAGACCCCATTTCGCTTAGCTGTGTGCACAGCTTTTTTTGTAACAGCGCGCGCGACGCCGCATCCGAGGATGAACGACTTCAAGCCGAATCAGCATGTAGGCTACGTCTCACCGCACCGGCTCGCAGTTTGCGCGTCTAAATTGCAAAGTTCATTGCAAAGTTTTTTTGTTAAGGTTTTGTTTACTGTGTGTGATTTATCTAAAACAAAGCACGTTCATTGCAACGTTTTTTTTTTTTGTTAAGGATTCATTTAATGGAAAGCACATTCACTTCTAGTTGTCTTGCTGTTCATTTTAAATAAACGTAGAGCGAGATGTCCTATAACAGACGAACAGTTATTCAACCGAACGTCTAGCTGCTATCAAAAAAAAAAAAAAAAAAAAAAAAAAAAAAAAGGTTCGACTATCAGTCGACTACGGCAAAATCTAACGAATCAGATTCGACTATGAAAATCCTTAGTCGAAAACAGCCCTATTAACAACGCAGCCGCACCGCGCTGTATACTGGATAAGCTAACCAAAACACACCGCATCAGTTACGTCATCATGTCTCGCGCGCCTCTTCACACGCCAAAAATTCGAATGCATGGTTTTTGTGCGAACGTGCAGTTTTTTTTTTTTTAATTAGACGAATTTTCAAGATTTTATTTGACAGCCCTGATTCACACTTTAATGCAGTTAAACTGCACTGGCTTGATACTTGAATACTTTCATAACTGTTAAATCTGAAGAGGAGTGGTGAGATGCAGAAACAGAAGCATGTTCTCAGTACACAGTCCACCATCTTACCTCTTCCATGATGAGTTCCTGCGGGGCAACAGTGCACAGACACACCAGGTACATCTGCTTAAAGTGCCCCTTGTCCTCGAACTGCGAGAGCTCGGCACAGGCCTTGGCCAGCGCCGCCGCCTGATCTACACAGCTCTCCTTGATCAGGTGCTTCACTCGCATCCTCAGGAGTGTTGGTCCCTCCAGGGCCAGGAACTCTTGCACTGGACAGAAAATAAAAACGTTCAATGCTTGTGTAACGGGCAGGTTGACTGTAGTCGGGTCTTATTTGCGGATGCGAGCGGCACGAGTGTGCGGGCCCTCACCGGTCTCCTGCGGGGGCGTGTCACTGGCGAGGATGGCGAGCAGCGTGGGATTGGCCCAGACCCCGTGCTCTCGAGCGATGGTGGAGAGGATGACGAGGTGACCGATGCCCTTCTCCTGCACAAGAGGATGGGCGATCTACACAGCACACAAAATAAACATTAGTAAACTTATTTGTTGTTGTCTATCAAGTTGTGTACTCTACAAAACAAAGCTGACCAATGCGGATACTGGTAACTAAGGCTACGTTCACACTGCCAGTCTAAATCCGATTATTTGTGTATCCGAATTTTTGATGTCACCACTGTGTATCGCAACTGTTCAGATCCGAAGTGTGTCCATGCCTTCAGTTTCTGGGATATCTGCAGTGGCCATGACGTTGCGTTGGTAGGAATACCCCAAATACAACAACCGCAACATGGAGGGGTTTGCAATACAGATGTTGTCTTATTTAAACTTTACAACATGGACATGTGTAGCGGTGCGCTGGACTGCTAAGGCAGCGGAGACTGTGATGTGGAGCTTTATTCCTGCTGTTGTTAACATGTCTCCGCTATACTGCCATTTTCTGCTCGGCACTTGCAACTTTCAACACGTTTCCAATAGCGTCTGACGTTTACATTTAACGTGGCGCGAGAAAGTCACATAAACCACTGTGAATAGGATTTCAAACCACATATGCATGTAGCTTGAAACGGCTTTGTAAAAATTCTTGTTCACATTAGCTAATTCTGATCAGATTTCAATCGGATATGCACAAAAATCAGCTTCGGACTGACAGTCTGAACGTAGCACGTCAGCCTGGCGAATATACCTGGACAGAAGACCTGAACCTGTCCCACAGTGCATCTGGGATATTCCTGGGCATGGAAATCAGCAACTCAGCACAACTCCTGCAGAAGAGAGGCGACAGAATGAACTCCAGCAACACACGAGCATTAGCACAGCGAGCCGCGCACACTTACAGCGCCAGCCTCTCCAGGACGACGGGCACCTTCTCGCAGTGGGCCGAGAGCAGCGGGCACACCTGTGCGAAGCTCAGCAGAGCCCGGATGTAGACCTCCAGCACGGGCAGCGGCTCCTCCTCCACCCGCCACAGCCCGGCGTACTCCGCCAGCGCCTGCACACACACACACACACTTACTCAAGCCCACCGGCAGGGACACTTCAGTCTGGGCCGATGCCAGCTGTAATGTCACACTAATGTTGAGACACACACTTCAGCTGACACGTTATTTTAAACAATCATATTCATTTATACATTTATTTTTCAAAAACATTAATAAAATTTCTGTATTATTTCTCACTACATGTTAAATAAAACTACTGTACCTGAACAATTTATTTAATTTGTATCCTTGTTCTATTGTATTAATCCTAGCGTTTGAAATTTGCTGCTTTGTTATGATTTTTAATACAAAATTAAAATAACTATATCATGATATATTGTTATGGTGAAGTAAAATATTGGTCATATTGTAAAAATGCCCACCCCTAGTCCTCGTCCACCATTATAAGGGCTTAATGAGCCGTTTCCCATCAGGCCGCAGTGGCACAGACACATCCGGCATTACAACAGATGATTAGACAGGTTTGCTCGTTTGTAAGAGTGCACAGAACTCAACATTAGGGATGTGCCCGAGTCCTCGATCGCTGTGACTTTAAAGAAATGTCATTTTCTGCAGATATACACTACCGGTCAAAACTTTGGGATGGGAAGATTTTTTTATGTTTTTAAAAGAAATGCTCACCAAGGCTGCATTTATTTGATTATTATTTGTTTTAATTGTCATAATATAACTTTTCTATGTGAATATATAGTAAAGTGTAATTTAAAGCTGAGTTTTCAGCATCATTACTCCAGTCTTCAGTGTCACATGATCCTTCAGAAATCACTCTAATATGAGGATCTGATGATCAAGAAACATTTATGATTATTATCAGTGTTGAAAAAAGCCAGATAATTTACTTTGATGAATAGAAATTTCTATTTCATTCATTTGAAATATGTTTTGTGACATTATAAATGTCTTTACTGTAACTTTCGATCAATTTAATGCATACTTGCTGAATAAAATTATTGATTTCTTTTATTTCTCCAACCCCACCAAAAAACAAAACAATTATTTCTGACCCCAAAACTTTTGCACAGTAGTGTGTAATGTTACAAACGCTTTCCATTTCAGATAAATGCTGTTCTTTTGAACTTTCTATTCATCAAAGAATCCTGAAAAAAAAAAAATCCACAACTGTTTTCAACACTGATAATAAAAAATTAAAGTTTCTCGAGCATCAAATCATCATATAAGAGTGATTTCTGAAGGATCATGGAGTAATGATGCTTTGATCATCACAGGAATAAATTACACTTTACTATACATTCACAAATTGTAATAATATTTCAGAAGAGACCTCTCTTAAAAACCCTGAAGATCCTGCCGATGCCACGCTTCTGCCCGGCTGTGTGACAGTATTGTGTGCTGTATATCTGACAGTCTCACACATGAAGCATTCAGTAGTTCCCAAACCCAAAGCGCTTCTCCTCACGGCTTCGACACACAGGGAGGTCTGGAATAATGTGATAAAGGAAAGTGAGAAGAAAAGAGAAACGTCTGACCCTGATGGCACTATCCTCCAGAAGAGTGAACACCCTCACATGAGTGCTGACGTCTAATTAGGCTACAACTGGGCAAATTAACTCAATTAGTTTATTAATAATCACATTAAGAATAATTTACTTAATAATAAAAATAAAATACTGAACACATTCATAGGAACGAGCCAAATCTCGTCTGGAAATCACCGAAGGCCTGAGCTCTCAGGAACACCTCGCTGAGTCGGGATCATCTCTCGCCACAACCCAACCACTGGGTTAACCAGTCAACCCATATTCACCACAGTAACCCAGCGGCGTTCACTCAAAGCTCCTCTTATTGTAAAATGAAAATTTAAAAAATCCTAATCACTCAGAACGGTCATCAAAGATAGAGCCGAAGCAGTGATAGAGAAAACATTTTTTTACCAATATTTACACACACAAAAAAAAATTCCAATTGGATATGAAGATAAAAAGAGATGTTTTATCAGGCTGTTGTTTCTTACATTAGACATCTTTAAGTGTGTGTGGGACTGAGGAACACACTGGGCCTCTTAAGAAAAGCATCAGCCATGTTTATATTTCACTATAAGCAATAACTCTATTCACAACTAACACTGTGCACTAAACCCCTGCTGCTACACTTCAACACTACACACACACACACACTCGTGCGTCTCATCGAGAGCATTACCAGGCTCTAAAGGTCAGAGGTCATCGTCGGGGGATGATGACTCAAAGGACATCATACAGTCCCATTTCACTGCGATCACAAGTGAAATATGCATAAATGCAGCTTGAGTTAGTGGAGTGAGTACTGAACAGTGAAGGCAATCACAGTCCGGCTGACCATACAGCGCACGCCGAGCTCGTGTGTAACGCAGCAGTGCTCCAGCTGAACTGATCCACACACTGGTGCTGACGGGTCGGGCCGGGCCACTGACTGCAATACACACTTCCCCGAGTTAGGAGAACATGAGCTACATTACGGAGTATAACTCAGACTTATAATAATAATTCATTACATTCATATAGCCAATCAAAGCGCTTCACACAGAAGGGAGGAATCTCCTCCTCCACCAATGGATGGAGACTGGGTTAGGAACAACAGATCTACAGGCAAACTGAGTGTCTTTTCATACGTTATGATGATGATCTAGTAATTAATCGATTATGTTGCTCACATTGTGATGTTCCTGCAACACAATCTGCCACTCACCGCATATAATTATAGATTGGCAGATTATTATAGTGATGTGCAGAGAGATTACGATGTTGATGTTGTGATCTGCCAACACTGCACATGATGACCGATCCTGATGATGAATCGCTGTTAGTGTAACGTTACTGAGGGTCTGCTGATTAGCAGTGCAGTGATTAGCATTGAGACACTGAGGTTAGCAATAGATCATAACGATGATGTCCTGGGTGTCACATATGAGGTTGTGCAGGACTAGTGTAGGATTATGCGAGTGATGTGCAGTGTATGATGGGTTATAATGCTGTTATTGATGATGATGATGATGATGGTGGTGGTGGAGGTGCTGCAGTTGTGCGCGCGCGCGCGGCGTGCTTGTTTACAGTCCTGCGTCCGATTCACACACTCACTGATTCAAACACAACAACGACGCGGAATAACAACGCGCCCCTCTGTAAACGCGTTAGGCCAGCAGAGCAGTGTGTGAGCTCGACGAACACACACTGAAGCAGCACTTGTCCTCCGCGGGACCAGTGTTTATGAGTGAGCTGGATGTGGATGTGAATGCGCGCTCACCTGACAGAACTCGTAGCAGTACTGCGACGCGCGCTCGGCCGGAGACTCCTGGCTGCTCCTCAGGGCCGCTGCGGCGTCCTCCAGGCGCGTTGCGAGCGCGTTCAGAGCGGTGGAAGCGTAGCTCCGCTCACCGCGGTCCTGCTCGGCCTCCTCGTCCGCCATCTTCACTTCCAATTCCGCCGCGTACGCACAGCGCGTCACGTGACGCCAAATCACTGTGCGTGCTGACGTACTGGCCGAGTCACGTGACCCTGCGCTCGCTCGGGGCAAACATTTTTCTTACGAGTTAAAGTACAGACACATTTCACAGTTTCACAAAGAAAGCTATAAAAACGTCTAGAATTTGTACCATGTTTATTATTCTTTCATATCATGCTTTTCTTTTTTTGTGTCTCCAATTTTTCTTTTTTTCTTTTCTTTCTTGGCAAATAATGTTCAATAGATAAATCAGGCTTCATTATAATATTTTTCTTGTTACCTATTGAACTATGACTTCTTTATTGTCTGAAAGTTTGTCTGTTTATTTTGTGTCTTACGTTTGTTAAAATGGGTAATAATACAAAAGTAGACACATTTCAGGAATCATCGATCGATTCCAATAAATATTATCATGATCCAGCTGAAGTATGTAGAATATCACACTATAGCTCGTCATGTTTTATTTGAAAATATGTTAATGCTAGGAAATAATTATAGGCTATATGAAAAATGTGAGGAAATTGGTGTAACCACTAGCCTGGAGAAAAGACCTGAAAAACATTCAAATTCGTTCTAGATTTTTTTCAAAAGTCTTTTAAATTCTTTTTTTATTTACAAATTTTCCCTCCATAATATGTGGTTTCAAAGGTCCTGTTTATGAAAGGGGTTCAGTATGCCACACAATAATAAGCAATTCTCTTTGATGCAGCGTTTTGTTCATAAATGTTCACAGCTCTCATCAGACACACACACACACACACACACACACACACACACACACACACACACACACACACACACACACACACACACACACACACACACACACACACACACACACACACACACACACACACACACCACGGTAACCCTTAATCTGTGGCTCTTCTCTCCAGATAAACTGTTTTCCACAGCATCACAAGACAGTGAGAAACTGGAGAAACTCTGACAGATGAGAAACTCACAGTCAAACTGATCTAATCTAAACCGAGACTCTGATCTGAAACTCACACTGCGATTAAAATCTGCTTACTGTCTCAAACAAGTTTTCATAAATCTCTTAAAGCATGTCATTAAGAGTGTGCGTGGGTGTGTGTTGTTGTTGACACACATGAATAAGATCATTATGTGTAGGAAGAAAGCAGTTTATCATAAGGAGTAACACCTTCATGACTGGTAAAAGTGTCTCTTTTTTCCATTTATCATTTGACCTTTGATGCATTTATCACTCATTCATCACAGAAAACACTTCAGTATCTTTATTAGTATCGTCCGATTATGGCATTTTGATAAGATGAAGCATTTGACTCAAACCACGAAGCCCAACATTCATAAACACATGAGCATCTCCTTCTGATGTGTGTGTGCATGACACATGATGCGGCTTCCTGTCAGAGATGATGTCACCACGGGCCTGTGTGTTACCCTGCAGGATTATCAATGAACACAGTATCCACAACATGTTTTATTTAAGAGAAATAAAAAACACCTGCATATTTCTGAATAAAGAATATTTCTGCATAAATGATCAGTATTATGAGAAATGAACATGAGTAGAGAAATGATGTCAGATTCACCTCTATGTCCACTTACCGTAGAAGAAAACGAATGTGATTTCTATCGTAGTTTTATTTATTAGGACACATATCATGGACATATTCTGCATAGTCAGATTGATCACTTAGATTTGCAATATACCTGGGCTGTATTGCAATGACTAAATAATGCATTAATACTTGATATTTCAGCTAAAGTGTTTAGATATGCAGTAAATAGAGATCTTTAAAGAAGCGTTGTCTGTGTGTTAGATACACGTCTATAGTTCGATGCTTTAATGTTTCTGAAAGAGTCTCTTCTGCTCACCAACACTGCATTTATTTCATCAGAAATACAGTAAAAACAGTGAAATATTATTCCAGTGTAAATCAGCTGTTTTATGTGAATAAAGTGTAATTTATTCCTGTGATCAAAGCTGAATTTTCAGCATCATTACTCCAGTCTTCAGTGTCACATGATCCTTCAGAAATCACTCTAATATGAGGATCTGATGCTCGAGAAACAGTTATGATTATTATCAGTGTTGAAAACAGTTGTGCTGCTAAAGGTTCAATCTTAATACCAATCTAAATAACATCATTTATTGTATAATATTAATTAATGATCTGTCTAATAATGTCTAAAAAATATAATAATTATCTGTCTACCAAGCTCTGATAATGTATGGAATATTATCTGAATAGATAGACCTTTATTAATATTTTACCCAGAAGACTCAAAGTGCTGTTCGGCAAACTCTGCAGGTCGCCTCAGTTTTAATGCATTACATTGATCAAAATTGACATGTAAAGAAATGTATATTGTTAAAAGATTATATTTCGAATAAATGCTGTGCTTTTGAACTTCATATTCATCAAAGAATCCTGAAAAATATATTCCACAAAAAAACTGTTTTCAACATTGATGATAAGAAACACTTAAAACATATAATACAATAGAAAACTGTTATTGTAAATTGTAATAATATTTCAAATAATATGATCAAATAAATGCAACCTTGGTGAGCAAAAACATAAAAAACCCTTAAATATTCCAAACTTTTGCCCGGCAGTGTAGATGTTATAAATATCCCGGCTTTAGCTCAGCTCTAGTCTGTACCGGCCCTCACGAGGGCGACACACACACACACATGTTTTTTACTTCACATGTTTCCTCTATTCGGCCCAAGTGTTCAGGCAGGCGTAAGTGATTAAAACAGTTGCAAGTGTTGTACAGAATAGGCATACACACACCATGCTCATCTTTGCACCAATAAAATGTGCAAGACTTTATGTTTTTAGTACCAAATCATATGTTTCTAATTAATTTAATTTACAGTGGAATGTTTTCCTCGTCATCTCGCGATTTCGGCGCGATTGAGTTGCCGAACAGAATGCATGATGGGATGGGAGACCGCAGTGTGTGTCTGTGGGAGTACCTCCTGCTCTCCGTACTGTAAACCCTACTGTACACTATACAAATGCAGTTGAAATCAATTCATCTTGATGAGCATTTGGATATTTCTATTGCTTTTGGGTTTAATGAACGTGTCTCTTTTTAAATTTCCACAAACTTAAGTTTCTCTGTGTGTGACGATGATCACCTGATCCCAGGGATGTTCAGTAAGGGCATTAGAAGAGCCCGCTCCTCATATCTGGTCAAGGGAAGCAGGCCTTCTGGGAGACAGCTCGTTATCAACACACTCAAGTATAGGACTTAAAGGGATACTCCACTTTTTTTGGAAATAGGCTCATTTTACAACTCCCCCAGAGTTAAACTGTTTAGTTTTACCATTTTTGAATCCATTCAGCCGATCTCCGGTTCTGGCGGTTCCACTTTTAACATAGCTTAGCATACATCACTGAAGTGGATTGAACACGTCAATTTCTCAAAAACTCCCGTATTTTGCAAAAAAGTTTTTACTCTTTGATGAAGTGGTTTTTCAGGCAATTCGAAAAAGGAATATTTCGCAAAACTGCAATTGAAACAGTTTTTTGTTGCATTTACAGGTCACGTGGCGTAACAGTCGGTCATTATTTAAAGATGACGCGGGACGTTTGGACAGACAGAGTTCTTTAATAAACTCATAAAAGACAAAAGAATTACGGTAATACTGGATTCTAAACCTCAAAGAAACGCCACAATCAGGATCTTGAAGCAGAACTGAGGGAGAAACTCCTCATATGAGCCGCTCACGAGAATAAGAGCTTGGATACACACCTACGTCTCCTTCCATTGACAATAATGGCCAGTCAGTGCGGCGGCTGTGATATAAACCTACCGACATCCGGTGGCAGGATTTGTGGAATGATTATCACGAGAGGAAAAATGACACTTTAGTCGCATTTCTTCGGTTAATGTAAACGCTGACAATTCGCAGTTTAGAAAATATTGATGGAAATCTGTAATGGAAACGCTGCTAATGACTCCACCCACCTATTTTTATACAAATTTTGGAATATGGCTTCTAAATAAATAAATAAAATAAATAACTAAATAAAAAAAAATGCATAAAAATGTATGCACTAAATTGAGTTGGATAGTTTCAATAAGACGACATGCGCATAAACTATGATGGAGACACATTTCCCAAATACATCTCTTGATGCACATCAAAGAAACAGCATGTGCCTTTGCCTCAGCAGATCCACCATTGCAATAACACAAGTTCATAAACAATAAAATCAATAATTATTATCCATTCCAGCCGCGGTGCATGATGGGAACTGAGCCCCGCCCCCATGAGAGCGCTGCGGAGTGAAGACATGACTCGAGCCGCCGGAGTGTGTTTGAGGCAATGCGTTTCGAGATGCATGATTTCGAGTGCAATAATGTTGTAGTGTTTGAGGTTTGTGTATGAAGGTAAAAGAGTAGCAAAACTCGAGAGCACGTAGATGTGAATTTGAGAACTTGTACAATAAATATTCGTACTTGTACGCTAAAACACACTCACAGCTCCAATGTGAAAACCTGTAAAATACAAATCTGTAGTTGAATGTTGAGATTTGCACTCGCAGACAATAGGTATTGGGGCTGATTGTTTTCCTGCGAGTTAAAGGTTTGAAGTATTGCATAAATTATATTTTATGTTTACTACTATATAGTGATTTTCAAGTTTAAAGTGTGTATAGCACATCCCTGTGGCTGTAATATATGTGTTTCAGGTACGGGAGTGGCACTTGTTGAGACTTGATATTTGGGCTAGATTTGATACACAACTCTGCATGCAATCCAAATATTAAACTTAAAGTTCATCAACTTAAAAAAAAGTTTGGTTAACAGTGACCTAGTATTACAAGTATTTTTATTTGTCTTTCTCCTCCTGGAAAACTGATTATAATGTTGATGACTCGTCATGTTCAGCACAACACAGATTTGACCAATCAAATGCTTCAGCCAAGAATGAGGATGAAATAATGACCCGTTAGTTACATACAGAAACACAGAGCGAGCCCTTTGGATGTGTCCTGTCCAAACTCCAGTTTCAGAAGGAAGTACGTTAGGGGAAATACCCCTGTGCCTTTCACGCCGTTGCTCAGGAATGAAACGATGATGTGCTAGAAAAGCAGACAGTGGTTTTTCATTGGATTTTATTAAAAAACTGTAATCCGCTCTTCCCAAGGACACAGCATCACGTGTGCTCTCCCGACTCCTGCTGGAGCGCTCCGGTCGCAGGTGGGCCGCTGTTTATGTGTGCTCCTTGCGCCGGATCAGCCTCTTGAAGGCCTGCTTGAAGTCCTCGTTGAAGCTGGTGTAGAGCAGCGGGTTGATGAGGGAGTTGACGTAGCCCAGCCAGGTGAGGGCGTCGGACAGCTGCGGCGAGGGCTTCAGCAGCATCAGCCCCACCAGCAGCTCCTTCAGGAAGAACGGCAGCCAGCACAGGATGAAGGCTCCCAGGATCAGGCCCAGGATCCGCGCCGCCTTCCTCTCCCGGGACGTGCAGATCTGGTTCCTCTCGTCCAGCTCCGGCGCCTCCATGTCGAAGGACGGCGCGCGGACGGTGTTCTCCGCGGCGGGGTCGGAGCTGGACACGTCCGAGACGCAGAAGGCGTGCGTGACCCGGCAGTGGTTCACCGAGTTCTGGCTGTCGGTGCTGCGGCTGCTCAGGTGCCGCGAGGAGCCGCGCTTCTGGTACAGCGTCTTAGCGGCGCTGTAGATGCGCGAGTACAGGATGAGGATCAGAGTCATGGGGATGTAGAAAGCGCCGAAGGTGGAGTAGATGGTGTAGCCCACGTGGTCGTGCTCGATGATGCACTGCTGCGAGCCGTCGCCGCGCTGCCTCCAGAACAGCGGCGGGATGGAGATGAAGACGGAGATCAGCCAGACGGTGGCCACCATGGCGGCGGCGCGCCGGGCCGTCCTCTTGCGGGCGTACTCGATGGCTTTAGTGATGGCCCAGTAGCGGTCCAGCGCGATCACGCACAGGTGCAGGATGGAGCAGGTGCAGCAGGTCATGTCCACGCTCAGCCAGGCCTCGCACACGAACGGCCCCAGCAGCCACACCTCCACCGTGATGTACAAGATGCTGACGGGCATCACCAGCACGGCCACCAGCAGGTCTGTGACGGCCAGCGAGCAGATCAGGTAGTTGGCAGGGAGGTGGAGCTTCTTGGTGGTGCAGATGGCGGCGATGACCGCGCCGTTCACCAGGGCCGTCAGCAGCGTCAGCAGCGCTAGCAGAGCCACCACGGCTAACCGCTGCGAGAGCGCCTCCGCGGGGAACGCCGCTCCGGGTGTGGCCGTGCTGTTGGTGCTGTTGGCCAGAGCACCGCCGCTTTCTCCCAGGTGTCGCTCCATCTCCATTCGTCAGCTGGAGAAACCCACTGGCTCCGCTCCAGGACTAAAGCCCCGAAGACTCCTGCGCTGGATCAGCCACGGCCTGTCAAACACACAGACAGATGATGAGTTAACAAGTGTCTCATACATCGATGATGCTTTCTCTGTCCACTCTAACCATCCGATCAACCATTTGATCTTAAAGGTGGGGTAAGCTATTTTTCAAAAACGCTGTTGGACATTTAAATCAACCCAAACAATCACACCCCTCTCCTCAGTGCTCCGCCTCCAAAACCCAGCCTTCAATCCTAGCCGCCCTTCTCCGAGTCGGTCTCGCACCCCGATCTGGTGCCACTGCACACTGCCCATCCCTGACAACACCGGAGCAAGAGCTGATCCTGTAGCTGAATCTCTTCATTAAATCATTAAATCACACACACACACACACACAAATAAAAAAATATTCCAGTGTCCAGCAAGTCGACTGATGGCGAATAACAGTGTCGGCCAATAACATTACAGCATGATGAGCATATGTATATTAATGGGCAGCACCACATTATATGAGGGATAACGTGTAGTTCGCTAACTAGCATTCATAGAACCAGCATTAAAGAATTAATAACTAAGAGAGTGTTAATAAACTCACCCAGTCCTACCTCGCCCCCGGGACTGTGTATTTCTGTCCATGTTCACTCACTCACACACACACACACACACACACACACACACACACACACACACACACACACACACACACACACACACACACACACACACACACACACACACACACACACGTGTCTCCTTCAGGTCCCAGTGCAATCACAGTAATGATAAGGACATGAATGAGCAATCACACAACAGTAGCCTGTGATTTCACAGGTTTGATTGACAGGTGGGCCGGTGCTAGAGGTCAGAGAAGAGGGTGAAGCCTCACAATAACACGATGAGCTCTGAGGCTCTTCGGGAGCAGCGCTCGTACAGCTCTCCGTGCGAGCCGTGTTTGCGTAGGCAGACTCATTACATGCAGTTGTTGGGATCTTTCTAAAGCTGTCGTCACACACAGGCCTGAGCGAGCGCACATCAGTCCACACGTCCAGGAGCGAGACTCGTGAGAACAGGGAGAGACAGGAGCGACCCAGGGAACACTGGGGAAGAACAGGCTCAGCGTTCAAATGAGCCTTTCATTATTGCACTTCACACATGATGAGCAAATAAAGACAAGTGTTTGATATGTAATGTATAACATTTCGGGGTTAGTTAACTAAAACGAAACCATAAAAAAAAAAAAAAACATTTTAAATGCTTAAAAAAAAAAAAAAAAAATTCATTCTTATTTTTAAATAGTTGCCAAAGCAACATTTCTCATTTTTAATTTAGTTTAACTGGATGTACTAAAATAAATAAAAATGAATACAAATAATATGACGTATGTTTCCAAGAATTCAGAGAAATTCATAATTTTAAATATAGTGCCCGTAATATCTGCGTTATCGCTGATTTCCGCTCCCACTGTAAGTAACCATGGCGACAGACGTGGACAACTGCGTTACGGCTAGCGGCGCGCTCACACTGTTGTTGTTTCGTTCAAACATTATGGACCATGGCAAGCACACTTTGTGACAAAAGGAGAACTAAAACGAGGGTCAATATCAGCGTGGCGTTTTCGAGAAGCCGAGGGCTAGCGTCCGCGACTAACTTCGACTCGACAGTGCTTTAGACAGGTGAGCAAATGTACATAAAACTAATCACTGTTCAATGTTAGAATATGATCAGTATGTTATTCTAATGTTCCAACAAACTAACACATAGAATAACATTATTAGAGCAAGTGAAACAGCGCTGCGTTCCCTCACACGCTTCATTCGTCGAATACACTGACCTGTGTGAGTAATCCAGCACTCGCGGGTAACGTTAGTTCGGTAGAATCAAATGTCCTCATTGCTTTATATCCGCGGGACTCGCGTGTGGCGCTGAGATCTGTCTCTCATCAGCACTCGCCCCTGCTTCACACCACAGTCATGATAAACACATTTTCACTCATCCATAAACATTATTAGATCCATCGCCATGACGACAAATGCCATGATTCCGCTGATTCACTGCGTCATCAACCTACGCCTTCGTTATTGTTCTGAAGAGGTTAGCGACCCCTAGCGGCGGAAAATACATATTGTGCCTTATCTTTAAATACATTTATTCAAAACATATTAAAAGGCTATTCATACAGACAATGACTTGAATACAGTTGTGATACTGTATGTTTTCAGTTTTGATGTGAGGGTTGAAGCCAAAATGTCTAAGGAATGTTTGAATCATGATATTTATTTTTTAAAAATAAACCTTTTTTGAAATAATGACTGAGATCAAGATCAAGGTAAAGGGAAAATATTGTATTACTTTGTACTTGATTGAAACACACCACTTGACTGAATCAACTTTTTTGTTTAAAAAAACCCCCAACTAAATAAAAGAATCCAGCATGAACACATGAGCATCTCTAGACCCAATCGAGATGTCAGACGCATTAGCCTTTTCGTGGCCTCTAACGTCTTCATCCGTCATGGCCTCGTCTATCAAGCGCCGCTGTGTTGTTTGTGTCTGGCTTCACCGTGGAGCGATGACAGTGGGAATGAGCTTGGGAAACTCAGTGACGCGCTGGGGTCGTGACCTCGTGATCATGATCATTCACATCTCTGGGATAAAGATGAAGAAGATCCAGATCTGGAGCTTCTTCATTCCTCCACTTGGTGGAGACAGAGACAGAAACACTATCATGTCTACACATTCATGAGCACCACTCTTTCACGCACACTGCCACTGAAGTAAAGGGATGATATCCCGGTTTATTTCACCTCAAAATAGAAATAGAACATTAATCATAGGCTACTCATTAAATTGGCATTACTATAATATATTGAATGTCATGTTACTGCTCACTTTCTTTTATTTAAATTCAAATTCAGTACAACAAATCATGATGATCATTTTCTATAAGAAAAATATAATTTCTCATATCTTTCTTTTCATTTTGGGGTGAAATATGCAAGGTTTTTTGACAGGTTTTGTGAAGCTCACCCCGTTTGTAAATCTCAAATGTTTTGGGAAAGCTGAACACACACCAGTGATGTTTTAAAGGACAGTGGTCTGTCATTATGACACTGTGAATCATCAGGAAACTACACTGAAAAAATAGCATAAAATTAACTGGTTGTATTCAGTCAAAAATATTATTCAATATTGATAAATCAACCGATATACATGCATTTATACAAACCAAATTAACTGAGATTAACACATTTTACAGTGTAACTTTGATGGAGTAAGTGTGTAAAAGTGACTGATGTCAGATATCCTTCTGTTCAGTTTAGTGGGTTTAAAAACCACTGCCATTTTTATTAGCTCTGATTAACCTAACTGTGTTCATCAGGTTTATTTTTTTTAAATTGATTTTTACAATAACAATCAAAGACGAACAAACAAACCCAAAGCGCTGAGATAAAACAATTACACATAAAAAAGTATACATATCTTCCTGCATAAATTATTCAGAAACATTACAGAAAAATAAATGTAAACCCATAGTCCTCTTGAAACACGTTCCTGTAGAGAAGAACGCACAGGTTTCTATAGTCCCGCTTGTGATTAAGATGAGGTTAGTTTCTCCACAGGAGAGAAGGCTGAGAACTGAGATATCCTCAAGGTAGCAGAATACCTTTTTTAGCCAGAAATAAAAGGATTGTAAATAAAGACTTGGTATCTGGGTCAGAAAACTCTTTAGGAGTATGGTTCAACAGATAAAGGGAAGGGGATGAAATAAAACGTTTTCCAATTATCTCCCGGATCGCAGGGTGAACCTCTTTCCAGATCGGCTGAATGTGATCACAGGACCAAAATAAATGAAAAAATGGTTTGAACAATTAGGGTTCGTTCTGTGGAGGCGAACGGGTGTAAAGTAAATCCCGTGAAAACATTCGCAATGTTGTTCATGTAGAGAAATTGAAATACATTTTGGAAAAATGCCATTAGAGATCTTAGTCCAGTCTACTGAACTGAATGATACTCCCAGATCCCGTTCCCACAACGGCTCCAAAGAATCATAACCTGAAGAATCATAATACACCAATAGGGCATTAAACTGAGATAATCCCTTTGAGAGATTTCATGGCTTCTTACAATCCTGATCAATGCGTAAAAACTCGGAGAAATGCCGAATTTGAAGGTATTTGAGAAAATCTACAGGGAAAATGTGAAACTCATCTCTGATTTGTTCAAATCACTACAAAGATTCAGAAAGCCCTCAGAGCTCCAACCCACCAGACTCAAAGCCGAGGCAGATCGGACAGAAATAACCTGAGGAATATTCAAATATTTGTTCACATTTTTCCAAACCAGGAGTGTATTATACATAATTACATTATCAATGAGGGAATGCATCTGGTCTATATTGTTAATAAACGAGGGATTAGTCTTCTGGGGTAACAAGATTACAAAGTACATCCATGAACCAGTTCGTCATCTTTTGGAGTTTAGCTGACCAATAATAACACTGGAAATTGGGCAAAGACAGACCCCTCATATTTGGTTTACAACATTTAGAAAGACCAACTCTCTGTTGCTTATTATTCCAGATATAGAACGGGATATGTGGGATTCCACTAGTTAAATAACATGGAAGATCCTGAAGCAAATCATCTAAACGAGGGATAAATTTCATTGTACAACATTAACTCTCCCAAGAAGGGAAATTGGCAAAGAGGTCCACTTTTCAAGATCAAGTTTTAATTTTTTGATTCAAATTGGGAGTGATAAAAATGCCCAAATATTTAAGACCTCTTTCTGAAACCTGAAAAGGAGACGAGACTGTATAGATAGAAAAGAGGAAATATTAAAAGGCACCGAGACAGATTTTCCTAAATTAAGAAGCATAATGTAATTATGTTATACAGCATAACATCGTCTGCGAACAGAGAAACATTTGTAGAGGAAGATTTGTCTAGAGAAGCTTTCATTATGCAATTAAAGTCACCAGCCAGAAAGCCCAAGCCT